AGTTAACTCAAAATGGATTAAGGACTTGAATATAAGACCTAAAACACATGTGTCAAACACAAGGCCCTCGGGCCAAATCCGTCCCGCCAGGCCTTGCAATGTGGCCCGCACCGCGCTGTCATCACTGCACTCCGCTGCGTTTCCATCACAATGACAGTTTATGACTGTTCAGTAAACCATTTGGCCCGCGATTTAGGCTGGATTTTAGATTTTGGCCCCTTCTCTGATTGAGTTCGACACCCCTAACCTAAAACAATAAAATACGTAGAAGAAAACATAGGCACTAAATTTATGGACTTTGGTCTCAGAGGGATTTTTGTGAACTTGACTCCAAAAGCAAGGGAAATAAAAGCAAAACTTAAATGAATGGAACTACATAAAACTAAAAAGCTTCAACACTGCAATCAACAAACAAAAAGACAGCCAATCAAAAGGAAGAAGACATTTACAAATGATACTTCTAATTATGGGCTAATATCTAAAATATATAAGTAACTCATACAACTCAACAAAAAACAAATCAAATTTAAAATTGTCAAAGGACCTGAATAGACACTTCTCTAAAGATGATATATAGAGGGCCAATAGATGTATGGAAAGATACTCAATGTCACTAATCAGAGAAAATTAAAACCACAGTGAGATATCATTTCACACCCGTTAGAATGGCTATCAATAAATCAACAAACAAGTGTTGGAGAGGATGTGAAGAAAAAGGAGCCTTCGTACACTGCTGGTGAGAGTGTAAATTGGTACAACCTCTATGGAAAACAGTAGGGAAGTTCTTTAAAAAATAAAGACTAGAGCCACCATGTGACCCAGCAATCCCTCTCCTGGGTATCTACTCCCAATATTGAAAACACTTACAGTATTTGATATCTGTACCCCAGTGTTCATTGCAGCATTATTCACAATAGCCAAGACATGGAAAGAACTAAATGTCCTTTGACAGATGATTGGATAAAGACGATGTGGTACATATATATAATAAAAAACTAAGCCATAAAAAAATGATGAAATATTGCCATTTCAATGGATGGATCTTGAGAGTATAATGCCAAGTGAAATAAGTCATGTGGAAAAGGACAAGAAGCTATGATTTCACTCATGTGGGACCTAAAAGAAAGCAACAAATGAGTAAACAAAACAAGCTCATAGACTCAACAGTGTGGTCGTTACCAGAGGGAAAGGTGGGTGGGAGAAGGATGACGAGGGTAAAGTGGGTCAGCTGTATGGTGACTAAAGGACACCAGACTCTGGGTGGTACGCACACAATGCCATGTACAGATTTGTATTATAGAATTGTACACTGGATGTGTATAATGTTACTAACCACTGACACTCCCATTAAAGTTAAAGGGGGGGAAAGTATGTGGTAAATGTCTGACTGCATTTAGTGTGGCGAGGGATATCAAAGAACCTCCTTAGCGATCCTTAGGCCTGCCTCCTGGCAGCTCACAGCCACCTCACTAACACGGGCATCCCAGGACGTTTATAAAGTGTGGGACCATGAAAGATAGAAAATGTGAAGCTCTGGTTTGCATTCAACAAATAATGTCTGCATTTCCCATGACATTCTGTTAGGCTTTCGTGTGTTTTCAGTGGAGATAGTGGAGAGTGTTAAATCCATTAGTGAGTGTAGGGAATGCTGTTTTGCTAAGAGATCATGGACTTTCGGAGCTGGAAAAGGAAAAGGATTCTCCGAGTATGATCCCTGCAGCAGCAGCTTGGCATTCCTTGTAAGAAAAGCAAGTGCTCTGGTCTCTACGGAATTTCAAACGAGGAGGGGGACCAGAAGTAACTGGCCCTCCTGGTGATTCTGATGCCAGCCACTGATTTAATCAAACCATTGCTTTAAAGAGAAGGAAACTGAGGCAGAGAGAGCAGCTATGTCAGAACCACCATTCAATCCTGCATCAAACACAACCGAGTGCCTGAAGGGCTGGTCAGTGTGGTGAGTATGGCTAATGTCTCATGTGCTGTTGCATCTTCCTTGCCAGGGTGTAGCTGATTACAAGAGCAAATGCAGATGGATCAAGTTTTTACAATGTATCTGGAAAGATTTCACATAAAAGTGAAAAATGATTTTGGAACTCAGTTTCACCAAAACTGTTAAGGGCTGTCATTCGTTTTTATCATAGCTAACAATCTTTAATTTGTTGCTCTCCTCTATGTCCAAACTTTTTGTCTCCAAAATGTTGTTATATCGTTAGGATAAATGTTAATCTTATTGTATCCTACTGAGTATAAATGACTCACTATAAAGTTTCATTTTATTTCAGGTTTTATAAGAGTCATCCACTGAGCAATCCCTCCTCCTCAAAACTCCTGTGACTGTGCTCTTGGGTGTCCTTCTGTAAATCTCTACCTCTCAGTCTCTGCCCACATCTCTGATGTTGGGCTTGTCCAAGGTTCCACCTTGGACCCCATTTTCCATGGATGTTCTCATCCCCTCCGCTCCCCCAATGTCTGTTCCTCTTCTATGCTGGTGGCTCTCAAACCGTTATTCTAGCTCAGCTCTATCCTGAATAGCAGATTGCTTTCCCCACCTCCTACCTGATCTATTTCTAGCACTCCTCCTGTGCTTTCCATGCCTTCAGCATCACCAGCGTATTTTTGTTTTTAATTTATAATAGCCCAGACTTTAGAAAAATATGAAAAAGGGAGGCTAAAAGACATCCCACGAAGTAGTCGGCCCAATCTAGACCGTGAGTCGTTCTATAAGGCAAATGACGGGGTTTCTGCAACAATGGGGGTGTGGTGGGGGGAACCATTATAGATGGAAAAAACTTATGGACACGAGCATGGCTCTTGTTTGAATCCTGACTGACTCAAACCAGCAATTACAAGAAATTTTTGAAACACTTGGGAAATTTTAAATAGGGGATGGGTATTAGATACTAAGGGATGATTACTAGTGTTTTGAAGCTGTACTAGAGACATTACAATCATGTCAAGGGGAAAGGTCCTGTGTTAGAAATGCATGCTGGTATGAATGAAATAGGAATGGCAGTGTTAGTAATTGCAGCGGGGTTTTCATTCTTGTTTACTTTTCTATATATTTGAAATTTTTCATCATAAAAAGTCAAAATGAAAGGGTATTTCAACTGAACAGGAGAAACAATAGGAATAAGTTGGGGGGGGGGGGGGGGGAGGGACATCTTGCCACCCTGGGAATGCTTGTTTACAGAACCAACAGCTATCTGGTGAGAGTCCTTGACTCCAGCCGTCCATCCGGGCAGCAGACCCGGTTTATCTCAGGCAGACGGCCTCTGTTCCTCCGCAGCTGCGTGAGCACAGGGTGGATGGCTCCTGGGGGCAGGAAGCTGCGGGGTTGTTTTCTCTGTCAGGAGCACTGACACTGAACAGCACTTCCCCGCAAGGAGACAGTCCTCAGCCCAAAGCCATGCATCGCTGACATCACACTGCAACCTAAGCTCATGGCCAAATTGCGCGTGTTCTGCTAGCATTAGTGATAAACCACCAACGACAGCTTTAGGTCAATGGAGACCCCCTGCTGGACTGCAAACTCTGTGCTTGCAGGAACCACTTTTACCTTCAGGGCATCTGACCATGAGCATTGATGTTTCATTGAACTGAAACGCGGAAAGGGGCCTCGGTAATCTGACTGCCACTCAGCGCAGTAAAAATGACGAAGATATTGTAGAGACAAGTTTAAGGACCACTTCCTAAAGGTGATGATATTCCTTCCCCCGTCACTGGAAATGTGGTTATTAGGAAAAGAAACGGGTGAGAAGAAGTATAGGGATAATAGAAGCCCAAAGCATCTGGTCAAGGTACAATCAGAAGAGGAACATTTTGGTTTTCCTCAGATCCTGCTTTAATATAGTATTTAAACACCAAATAACAAAAACCTCTTCCCTGGCCCTAAAAATTGCCTTCAGTAACAGTGTGTGCCAATGGTCAGATATCCACACTGCAGAGTGTCAGGGAACTGGCAACCTTCAAGTGTGTAATTACAAGGTCAAATCTGTAATGACAAGGTCATGCTATACAGGTCCTTTCATCTTCTCTCTTTTGTCTGAAAGCGAAGCTCTAGTAAACGTGGTCACTTAGTACTTTCCAGTGTTGTTAGTAATGAGTAGTTTTAGATTCGAAGCCCCTGCCCCTATGTTAGCATGAAATTAGTAAAATAAAAAATACTGAGCTATTTTAAATTTGGGGAAGAAAGGCACTATGAAAACGTAAGGTATTTATTGTTGCCTGAATGGATAGAAGCACAAATTAAACCTTTTTCTTCATGAAGTTTTAAAATATAGTTTTATTGATTTTTAGAGAGAGAAGAAGGAAGAGGGAGAGAAAGAGAGAAATATCTATTGACTGCCTCCTGTCTCCCCCTTTGTCCCCGCTGGGCATTGAGCCAGCAACCCAGGCATGTGCCCTGACTGGGAATCAAACTGGCAACCTTTCTGTGCCCAGGACAATGCCCAACCAACTGAGCCACACCGTCCAGGCTCTTTAGGAAGTTTTGGGACCAAAGACCATGATAAAAGCCTTGGGAGCTTGCTTTAAGAGAATATCGTCCCCATTCCACACCTGTTCTTACCACTTCTCTGGGTGCGCTCATAAACTCCTTTCTTAATGACCATTCCAACAATCTCGCCTTTTCCCGTTCTCACTTAGTGCGCAGTGGTGTGTGTGGCTGCAGCATCATGAAATGAGATTCTGACGCGAGGGGATGTCCCTCATTTAGAATTCCCGTCTGGATAAGATACTGAAGGCCGCATTGCAGGGAATTCTTGAGCAAAAACAATAGGAGGATGAGGGGTTGTGAGTATTTTTTTTTTTTCCCCTAAAGACAAATGTCAGTAAAATAACCCTGTTGACAGTGTAAAGCAGTGCTTCTCTCTGGGGTCAAGGCCAGAGCAGTGGACACCTTATCCCACTCACCCTTTTCCTCTGATAAGCCCCAACCAGCACTGAAAAGTCTTTCTTCACGAAACTTTTTTTTTTTTTTTTTTTTTTTTTTTTTTTTTTTTAAAGAAGGGGACAGAGGAAAACGGGAATTGAGAGGGTTTGCCAGTCGGCATCTGGTGGCTGGTCCAGAAGGATGCCTCGGTCCCTGCTTCTCACCTGCCTCTTCGTCGCCGTCACACCTGCGGCACCAACAGGTGAGTCTGGTATTGAGCACTTGGCCCGCTGAGCTTTTTGTTGCAGGAAATTGCTGTTACTACAGATTACTAAGAGCTAGAATCCAGTCTCTTCAATGCTGGGTCTAGCCATTGAAAACCTACGAACATGTATTTTCATAGAATTTCTGTTTCATATTCCATTTAGTCTCTTGCCTGGGCAGCCGAAATTCCCATGGATCGGCCATATCCAGCAGCTTTCCACCGGCTAAATATTGCTTGGAGTATGTGTAAAAGGAATTCTAACCTTTTATAGCTACACCTTCAAGAGTAAAACAGTGATTTTTTAGAGTTAAGGATAGATTTTTTTTTTTTTTTCTTTAATGGTTTCCAGAGACTGACTGAAAGCTTTAGCCCCATGAAAGGTAGAGATCCGGTAAATCAAACTCCATAGTCTTGACATCTGAAAATAGGACTCTGCACAGACTGAGTGAATCGTAAACTGTCTCTCCTCAGGCTTGGCACAAACTGGCCAACAAGGCAAAACAATTCCACTTGCTACCAAATGCCTCTCTCCTTTCTCCAACTAACAAATCCTTTTCCCTGGCCCTAAAAATCACCTCCCATAACAGTGTGTGCTGCCTGTTAGAAGAGAGTGTGAGGGCAGGTTGAGATGGAGAGAAGAGTCCTTTTGAGGAGCTCAGTAGTTTGTTGACCCTGACTAACTCAGGCCTTGCTCTAGCACCTTTAAGGATACACATTAAAAATGGCCTTGGAAAAAACCACCAAAACCATAATTCAATACCATCTAATATCTAGTCCATATTCAAATTTAAAAAACAAACAAACAAACAAAAAACAACACAAAAAACAGGCTTGAGACCCCAAGGACGTGAAAACTAATGTAATATGGTGCCTGGATGAAATCCTGGAACAGAGAAAGACAAAGGCAAAACTGAAGAAAATCTAAATACCTGTATGAGGTATCGTAACAGGGAAACCAGGTGGCGGGTGGGGGGCCTCTTTGTGCCACCTTCTCATCATTCTCTGGGTCTGAAGCTGTTCTAATGGTCTGTTTTACAGAGGGGGCTGAGCTCAGTTTAACCACCCAGCATTTGCTGCCAGAACACCCAGAGCCCTTAAGAGACGTCATCCTCCCTCAACTTCCGCTCCCCTTCCCCTTCTCTTTGCCTTCTCACTCTCCTCAGTGCCCCCTGCACCTCCCAATCACACACCTTCTCCCTCCCCAGACTTCTACTACACACACACACACACACACACACACTCCTGCACCTCCCAATCACACACCTTCTCCCTCCCCAGACTTCTACTACACACACACACACACACACACACACACTCCTGCACCTCCCAATCACACACCTTCTCCCTCCCCAGACTTCTACTACACACACACACACACACACACACACACACACTCCTGCACCTCCCAATCACACACCTTCTCCCTCCCCAGACTTCTACTACACACACACACACACACACGCACACACACACACTCCTGCACCTCCCAATCACACACCTTCTCCCTCCCCAGACTTCTACTACACATACACACACACACACACACACACACACTCCTGCACCTCCCAATCACACACCTTCTCCCTCCCCAGACTTCTACTACACACACACACACACACACACACACACACACACACTCCTGCACCTCCCAATCACACACCTTCTCCCTCCCCAGACTTCTACTACACACACACACACACACACACACACACACACTCCTGCACCTCCCAATCACACACCTTCTCCCTCCCCAGACTTCTACTACACACACACACACACACACACACACACACACACACACTCCTGCACCTCCCAATCACACACCTTCTCCCTCCCCAGACTTCTACTACACACACACACACACACACACACACTCCTGTACCTCCCAATCACACACCTTCTCCCTCCCCAGACTTCTACTACACACACACACACACACACACACACACACACACACTCCTGCACCTCCCAATCACACACCTTCTCCCTCCCCAGACTTCTACTACACACACACACACACACACACACACACACACTCCTGCACCTCCCAATCACACACCTTCTCCCTCCCCAGACTTCTACTACACACACACACACACACACACTCCTGTACCTCCCAATCACACACCTTCTACTACTACACACACACACACACACACACACTCCTGTACCTCCCAATCACACACCTTCTCCCTCCCCAGACTTCTACTACACACACACACACACACACTCCTGTACCTCCCAATCACACACCTTCTTCCTCCCCAGACTTCTACTACACACACACACACACACACACACACACACACACACACACACGACCTTTGACTTGATGCTCAAGGGAGAACTGGGTAAGGAGGGAAAGGGTAGTGAGGGGGGGATGCTTGTCCGGGTTGGAGAGGGGAAGTGGGAGGAAAGGAGTGGGGAAGGAAAAGGAGAGGAGGTGGGGAGGAAGGCAGGGAGTGAGGAGAAGGCAAGGAGGAGAGGGGGCTCTAGCACTGAGCTGATGGGAGGGGCGGCGTGTGGTGAGGAGGAGGACTAAGGGTTGGAGCCTCTGGCTCTGCAAACCTTGGAACCAAGGGCGGGACGTTGACATTATCTCTCAGCGCTGTGCCGACCCTGGGGTGCACAGCCTTCCCTGACCCCAGAGTGGGGACCCCAGAGGGGTGGGCTGCAGGGCGGCTGGAGGAGGGTGCTCCTGGCTCGACATTTTAAAGGAAACCACAGAGCTGTCCTTTCTGTCGCGCTTCAGTTTGAGGAATGTATGTGTCCACAATTTAGGGTGCCATATGCTTATACCAAGCTCTGTGCCCCCCAATGAGAGACTGAGAACGGGAATTAACGGATGATTAAGGGATTAAAGTACTGCCTTAAAAGGGGTTGGAGATGAAAAGGTTAGATGTGCATATTTAATGTGAGAAACACTGGGTTGGTAACTTTTTAAAATACATCATCTATTTATTTTAAAGGACACAGTAGGAAAAAATTTCCTGTTTGTGCCATATCTCCCCTACAACAGGAGAGAAAGAGAATTTTTAACAAATAGCACAATAAATGACAGCTGAGTTTAAGAAAAAACTATAATTCCTGAAATAGTTACTGAGGGTAGTTTAGGAATTTCTGTAAAAGCCATTACACGTTGAGTACCTAACCATGTCTTATAAAATGAGAGCCAAGGAAATGAACCAAATATTTTTATGAATTTATGATCACCTGTGAAATTTCCCTGAAAACCCGCAGCTGGGAGAGCGGAGGAAGGAATTTTTCCTTTTTGAGAGGGGAGAGAGTCTGTCTGAGGACACTTCTTGCCCTGGAGGGACAGCACACGGTAAGCTAGGGCACCCTTGGGGTACCGCTGGGCACCTTGTAAAGGAGGCGGTTGCCCTGCCTTGTGCAAATGTGTTACTTCCAGAAAGTGCAGTACCCGTCTTCCTTCCTGTCCCAAACTGTCACACGCTCGCTGGGCATGAGCACCCAGCCACACACTCCTCTCCCTGCGGGTGCAGTGCAGAGAGGAAGCTTGAGTTTGAAATGTAGCCTGGGAAAATCCAAAATATTTTCTAGACAACTTAGATTTTATGATCCTGGTCCATTTACATTTAATTATTGTGCATTGTTTGCTAAAGCTGAAATTCCTGCCCACAAAAATGCATCAGCCGTCATGTGAGCTCCCTGCCTACAGCATCAGCTAAGTCAGCTGACATGCATTGGGAAGGACAGTCCTCTACGGCTGGTCTCCTTTCTGGAACGCCTGGGTTTTACAGGTTCACACAGACAATTTGCCTCCATTCATTCAATGTTTCTCTGAAATTGAGGGAAGCAGTGAGAACATTGGGGATATTTATGTCTTTGGTCATTAAAATGTTTTTGATGGGATATTTGTCCATGCGCTAAAAAATGCATGCTTGAAAACTCTATTATCCACAGTGATGCCACGGCTAATTGTGAATACATAAAGTTTATAATGTTTTCAATAAGCTGATGGAATATATTCACTTTGAAACTATCTTAGGGAACTACTTGTCAATATAATCTGTATTTTTCAAAGCAGCTGACATGTGCCAGAGGCCTTTTCCTTTTCAGTGGAATGAGTTTTACACATTCGTTATCAAATCAAGCTTCCCCCTAGTGCAAAATTCCACCTATAACCTTGCCTACAAGTGACCATCCAAATATTTTTAAAATTTTCCGAAGACTCATCCATTGCTGGGTAACAGGACGAAATGTGCTTCCCCATAACCGTTTGTTCTTGTTTTTGTAACAGAATACCTAATTCCTCTCCACAAGCCCAGACCAGATGTTTGAAAAGTGATACGCACATTTTTCAGTCTTCTTTTCTCCAAACTGTAGTTCTCAGCTTCTTCCCCGGTGAATAATCTTAGGCTTCCTTCTAAGTCTGCTCGCCTTCCTCTGGATGCCAAGTCTGCCCATTACTCTCCTAAGGTATAGCCTCTGGGTGTGAACACAGCACTCAGACGATTGTCTGACCCGAGCAGAGCTCAATGATCCGCAACTCTAACGTCTCTGGTTCTGAGCAACTCTCTTTCCACCAATGGATTGCCAACGGACGAACAATTTAGCCCAATGCTAACCCCGAACCTTAGATAGTTTCGAAATAATTCCAAAAAAGGTATTTGTGAAACATGTGTAAGTTAACTTGGGGAATCTTAAACAGGTACTCTTTGGGAGCTTGAGATGATTTCTTTCTGAATCCCAGAAAATACAAGACCAGAATGTCGTTGGCTCTGTGATCTGCACTATCACGAGGTGCCTCTGAGGTGTCCCTTTCCCCCCCAGCCCCAGATCCCTGTTCCGCCTACATCAGTCTGAATGAGCCCTGGAGGAACACTGAGCACCAGCTGGACGAATCTCAGGGCCCGCCTCTGTGTGACAGCCACGTGGGCGGGGAGTGGTACCGCTTCACGGGCATGGCGGGGGACGCCATGCCCACCTTCTGCATACCCGAAAACCACTGTGGGACCCACGCCCCCGTCTGGCTCAACGGCAGCCACCCTCTGGAGGGTGATGGCGTCGTGCAGCGCCAGGCCTGTGCCAGCTTCAACAGGAACTGCTGCCTCTGGAACACCACGGTGGAGGTCAAGGCGTGCCCCGGAGGCTACTACGTGTATCGTCTGACCAGGCCCAGCGTCTGCTTCCATGTCTACTGTGGCCGTGAGTCCCTTCTCTGTGCTCTCCGTCCTCCCCACGAGGCATCCAGGAGAAAAGCGCCAGAGGACATTCACTTAGGGGAGCCTCTCAGGGTCCGAATAACATGGCTTCAGGGCCGCATAGATCTCCAGGCTGTGATTTCTGAGCTCTCTTCTGAAATTTCTGAAACGTTCCTGGAGACTAGAAAGGGACAGGAGCTATGCGTTTGATCATTTCTGCTTTATTTTGTCTTCACTCCTTTTGAACAAGTCATTAGAAAATGAAATGTTGATTTAGGTTATCTATAAGTAGAAATCTTCATTTAGAAAATGAAATGTTGATTGAGGTAATCTAAGTAGAAATCAACATTTTTGAGTATGGAGAATCCCTTTTTAAAATATATATTAGACATCCATGGGATAGCATTGTGCTTAATATCCATTGATTTTTTTTTTTAAATTATATGGGAAGGAGCTACTTTAGGTCAGTAATACTTTTAAATAAATTTTTGTTTTCTCAGTCCCCTCAATAACATATATTTAAAAAATAGAGCATATAGAAAAGTAGAAGATAATGTTTATTTTTTAATTTATCCTTATTATTAAAAATATTACAAATGTCCTTTTTCCCCCCTCATTGACTCCCTCTTCCTCACTCCTGTCCCCTCCCCAGGCCTTCACCCCACTATTATCTGTATCCAGGTGTTATGCGATAGGAGATAATGTGTATTTAACCCACAGCTCATGTTTGTGAGGTATTAGATTTTCAGAATCTATGGCCAAACAAGGGCCTGTGGATCTGAAGTTGGGAATCACTGATCAAAACGACAAAAGATGTTCCTGGGTGGTGTGTCTTTCCGCTGGGTTTGCATGCTCCCTGAACAGTGAGCGTTCTCTGGATGTTGGCCTGACGCTGGTGTCCCATGATGGAACTCCGGCAGGAGGGTCCTCTGGGGCGAGCCCATCACAAAGGCCATCCTTATCCTCCCGCAGACTTTTACGACATCTGCGATGAGGACTGCCATGGCAGCTGCTTGGACACCGAGTGCAGGTGCGCGCCAGGGACCGTGCTGGGCCCCGACGGGCAGACGTGCTTCGGTAAGAAACTCATGTTGAAGTAGAAACAGGCCCTTTAAAGATCAAAGGGACAAATCAAAAACGCTCCTGACTCAGACTGCTATCGTCCTTCCGGTCTGTGCCGCAGAACACCTGGAATGGTGTTTGCCCTTGTAGTTCATAACTAAAGCTTTAAGCCAGATTTGTGCCACGTTTAGGGGTAGTCTAGAATCCTTCTGTGCAATCCTGGAGTCCCTGGCCATGGGTGGTTATGGAGCTCTTGAAACACAGTGACAAAAAAAACGGAATTTTGATTTTACTTAATTTTAATTTAAAAACTGACACTTGACTCAGTCATTGAAAAACAGAAAATATTTGGAATTAACTTGAGTAACCAAATGTAAATTTTATGACTCTATATAGATCAGTTATTTCTGATGAAAATTTAGCATCCAAATTGAGACAGGCTATAAGTATAAAATGTACACTGGATTTCGAAGACTAGTTTAAAAAGTATAAAATGTCTCAATAATTTTAATATTGATTATATATTAGGATGAAACATTATGGACATATGGAGTAAATGAAGTATTTACTAAAATTAAATTTGCCATTATCTTTTAAGAAATGTTTAACTATAACTACAAGAAAGATTTTAATTACTTGTGTAGCTTGCTGTGTAATTCTACTGGATAGCTTTGGCCTACAATTATCTAAGGGCAGACTCCTACAGCTTCATTAATATGCTTTTGGTTTCTCAGAGTAGCAAGAAAGAGGAGTCAGATTACTTGTGGGAAATCCAGCTGTTTAATTGTACATGCTTTGTTGTCTATAGCTGGAAGAAAGCAAAGTTGAAAAACCCAGGATTAGAGGTCCTTTCTTTTCCCTTTAATGTTATGGATCTTTTTGTATTCAGACTCAAATGGACTTAAAAGAAGTCTAGTGCCGAGACCGGTTTGGCTCAATGGATAGAGCGTCGGCTTGGGGACTGAAAGATCCCGGGTTCGATTCCGGTCAGGGGCATGTACCTTGGTTGCGGGCATATCCCCAGTAGGGGGTGTGCAAGAGGCAGCTGATCGATGACTCTCTCTCATCGATGTTTCTAACTCTCTATCTCTCTCCCTTCCTCTCTGTACAAAATCAATAAAATAAAATAAAAATTTCATACAATAAAAATATATATATATATTTAAAAGAAGAAGAAGAAGAAGAAGAAGAAGAAGAAGGAGAAGGAGAAGGAGAAGGAGAAGGAGAAGGAGAAGGAGAAGGAGAAGGAGAAGGAGAAGGAGAAGGAGAAGGAGAAGGAGAAGAAGGAGGAGGAGGAGGAGGAGGAGGAGGAGGAGGAGGAGGAGGAGGAGGAGGAGGAGAAGGAGAAGGAGAAGGAGAAGGAGAAGGAGAAGGAGAAGGAGAAGGAGAAGGAGGAGAAGGAGAAGGAGGAGAAGGAGAAGAAGAAGTAGTAGTAGTAGTAGTAGTCTAGTGAGGAAGGGGAGGCCTGCCCACACCTCTCAAGAAGAACAGTACAGGTCAGAACGGGTTAGGGAGTGAGAGTGAAAGGCATGTCCATGGCTTATTTAAGAGAAGCGACTGTTCTTTGTCTCCTAAATGAGCTCCTCCGACCATGCTGTGTCGCATGTTCAACCCTCCCACAAGAGCGGTTAGCGCTCTTACAGGGTCCATTTTGACTGTGTGACTTAATGCCAGAATGTTTGGGGTGCAAGAGACAATGGTTCCTGTAGTTTCCCCTCACCCCTCGCACAGCGCTCGCATAGACACACATCTGTTGGAAAATATTTGGCTTTTACTTAAAGGCAGGACTTGCTCATTCATTGCTCTTATTTGTGGTTTTTAAGTATAATTGACATACAATATTATATTATTTTCATATATACAACATAAGGATTCAGCATTTATATACTTTAGGATGTGATCACCACAATAAGTCTAATTCATTCATTCTTTTTGCCTTTATTTTAATATAAGTTTGAATAGGTAATATATTTAAACTAGAGGCCCAGTACATGAAATTCATGTATTTGGTAGGTTGGGGGGGGGCCCTCAGCCTGGCCTGCACCCTCTCACAGTCCGGGAGCCCTCAGGGGGTGTCAAACTGATGGTGGGGAGCAGGCCTAAGCCGGCAGTCAGACATCCTTAGTGCTTCTGTGGAGGTGGGAGAGGCTCTCGCCACCCAGCACTCACCAGCCGTGAGCCCAGCTTCTAGCACTGCCCACCAGGGAGCAGCTCCTGCATTGAGCGTCTGCCCCCTGGCAGTCAGAGCACGTCATAGCAACCCATCATTCTGCTGTTCAGTCAATTTGCATATTAGCCTTTTATTATATAGGATAATTCCTAAATTAAATAGCATGAAAGGTATACAGTGAAATGTCTAGTTCTCTTCATTCATCTCATTTTCTCCTCACCCCATTCCAAGTAAACTCTTGTATTATTTTCTTATGTCCTTCCAGGGTTTTCTCAGGCAGGTATGAAAAAATGCAAATATAGATGTTAATTTATTGCCCCTTTTTTTGCACCAAAGGTCAAATATCATACACATCATACATGTCTCTTGCTTAACAATTTAACTTGGACATCTTTGTCTACCAGTACCTAGAGAACAGACCCCAGTTCCTACCTGGAGTCTGTCCCCCAGTTTCAGGGAGATCATGAATTCAGGGAGATCTGAAATTACACGCAAAGTTTACGTGCATGTGTCAATTTTCTCCTAGTTTTTTTTTTCTTTTTCTTTAATGTAATATAGTGGGGTATTTTTTTAATTTCCATCAGTAACTATGTTTGTTTTTAATGGTTTAACATTAGTGACTATGCAAATGCTTCTACCTTCACATTTCTTTTCTTAACTGTAGATGACACATGGCAATCCTGTGCTCTAGAACCTTCCATGGCTCACTCTATTTTCAAAATTATGTTCAAATGTCTGGTGTACAAAGTCTTTCACAATCTGATCTCTGCCTGCTCCTCCCCCCCACCCCTCCCACCCCCATGTGGGATCTCAGTGTGGAATCAGTGCAGTCATCACCATCAGGGCCCGGCCACTTCTCATCTAGGAGGCCCATTTTGTGTCTCCTTATTTCTTTTTGTTTCTTTTCTTTCTTTATTTTTTTATTGTCTAAAGTTTTACATATGTCTCCTTTTCCCCCAATTGACACCCCCCCAGCCATTCCCACCCCGGCCAAGCCGCCACCACCCCAGCATCTGTGTCCATTGGTTATGCATGATGCAATATAATTTTTATTACTTAGTTTAAATTATGTAATTTTTTTTAGGCAGAGAGAAGAGTATAGGAAAATAATATAACATACTCATGTACCCAGAGTTGACTATAGTTAAGTTTTTCTCTTCTTTTAAAATAAAATTTTACAGATACAAGTAAAGTCATCTCAGTCCATCTCACTTTTCTCTCTCACCCTCCAGGGGGAGTCAGTGTTTTGAAGTTGGTGCGTGTCCTTCTGGTCCTTGCTTTTATGCTTTTATTATTCATATGTGTACCCATAACAATATGTAGCAGAGCTTTGTGTGTTCTTAAAATGAACATAAAAATTATACCTTACCCCATAAAAGTGGAATTGCTGGGCATAGGATCAGAGTCAGGCTGTAAACAACAATAGGCCCCCAGATAACAATGGCTTAAATAACAGCGGCTTAACCACGTAGAAGCTCATTTCTCCTGCACATAAAACAATCAGTGAGCAGGTCAGCCCTGCACAGAGGCCGGCCCTGCGCACTGGGGTGGCCACCTCCAGGAGGGCCGCCAGCGCCTCTTCCCACCCACTGAAGGTTCTCCTCTCAATGACCATGTGTGTGTTTTTTTTTAATATTTTTTATTGATTTTTTTTTTTTTTTTTCTTTTTTTTTTTACAGAGCGGAAGGGAGAGGGAATAGAGAGCTAGAAACATCAATGAGAGAGAACCATCAGCTAGCTGCCTCCTGCACACACACACACACACACACACACACACACACCCCACTAGGGATGTGCCCACAACGAGTGTACATGCTCTTGACCGGAATCTAACCTGGGACCTTTCAGTCCGCAGGCCGACGCTCTATCTACTGAGCTAAACCAGTTTCGGCTACTATGCTTTTAAGCTCAGCATGTTTGTTTCTCAATTTTGTCTTATCCTTTTACACACTTATTTTGGTTGCTATTCTTTCTTTTTTTTAAAAACAAAAACATGTTTTATTGATTTTTTAGAGAGAAGAAGGCAGAGGAATACATGGAAACATTGAGCTGCCTCCTGCACACCCCCTCCTGGGGATCGAGCCTGCAACTTGGGCATGTGCCCTGACCAGGACTTGAACTAGGGACCTCTTGGTTCATGGGTTGGGGCTCAACCACTGAGCCACACCAGCCAGGCAACCATCCTTCCTTTAATCTGTGTGGTGATTTTTTTTAAAGCCTCGTACAGATGGATTTTTCTGGATCATTTTGTTTATCTCCGATCCAAAGCCCCTTGTTTGTTATCTTGCCAACTCTCTCTCTCGTAGGAAATGATTTCCTCGTGGTTAGAATTTCATGGCAAACATTTTCTGATGTCACTGTTGTTGTTTTCGGGGCAGGGGGTGGGGAGATTCTATTCTTATCGCCCGGTTTATGGGAGTTTTCACCGCAGAACTGTCAGGCGTCACAGAAACTGCACAGGCCTGGCCACACTCCACATCCCTTTCTGGCTGCGATGTCCCCACGCCATGTGGGGAGTGTGAGCTCACACGTCAGCCCGGCAGGACTGGGCTGGGGCTCCCGCGGTTTCTGGAGGCTTTGTCTCCCCTGGAGCTCCAGCCAGAGGCTTCCTCACTGCCTCCCTGGGCCTCTCCTGAACTCATTCCGGGGACACTTTGCCAGGGTCCCGGATGGGGTGTCAGCTCCCGTTAGCTCCTCCCCAGGACCTACGGCCATGCTTCCTGCCGCCTCGGGGGGTTTAAGCCCGGTCCCTGGCTTAGGTCCCATGTCCAAGCCATGACCAATGTAGCTCCCACGCTTCCTTTTCTTTTGTTTGTAGAAGGAGGGGGTCGACATTTATTGCCAGTTGTGCTTTTTTTTTTCTATGGCAAGAGTCCCTTCTTTCATCAGATTCTTCCAATGACTTAACAGTCACGATGTGCAATGTGAGACTATTCCAACAGTGAAGAGAAATGTCTAGAGCAGTCGCTCATGTATAGCGGAAGACTGCCTCAGAAATGTCAGATGCTTTCTCCTGCAACGTATGTCCCTTTAGTGCCTTTAAAACACGGTTTGAGCTGAAACCGGTTTGGCTCAGTGGTAGAGCATCGGTCTGTGGACTGAAAGGTCCCAGGTTCGATTTCAGTCAGGGGCATGTACCTTGGTTGCGGGCACATCCCCGGTAGGGGGTGTGCAAGAGGCAGCTGGTCGATGTTTCTCTCTCATCGACGTTTCTAGCTCTCTATCTCTCTCCCTTCCTCTGTAAAAAATCAATAAAATATATATTTTTAAAAAATAAAAAAATAAATAAAACAAGATTTGATTTATAAGTTTTCATTCATTTGGCAACTCTTCAGGAGCTCATTGGAGAAAGCGAGGCTCCCCAATGCAAATAAACAGGTGAGCTTAGGTGACAAAAGGAATTTTATTTCCCCACAGCTTTGCCCTCAGGAGGGAATTGATAAGAAAGTAGGTGCCTGCTGCTTCAGCAGGAGGCAGATGGACAAATAACTCGGTTGAGGAATCCTGGCTGATAGAAGTGATGAGGCTGGATCTCAGCCAGGGGCTGGGCTGAGGAATGTGTATCGGCAGGAACTGAAAGAACGTGGAGGTTCTGCTAAGGGGGCTGAGAGACTAAGTTGCTCAGCACCATATAAGTGGTGTGTTTCTTCTCTACAGATGAAAACGAATGTGAGCAGAACAATGGTGGCTGCAGTGAGATCTGCGTAAACCTCAAGAATTCATATCGCTGTGAGTGTGGGGCTGGCCGTGTGCTGAGAAGTGATGGCAAGACTTGCGAAGGTGAGAATGGGTGAGAAGGATTCACATCGATAGCCCAGGCCACTGGCTTATTCTCGGCTGCTCAAGAGACTGCCCCCTGTCAGAGAGAGGAGCAGTGTGGCTGTGCAAGGGGAGGACAGAGGGGTTCATCATCGTCAAGGATACCTGCAGATAGAAGTTACCGTTAATTTTGTCTCCAAGATTTCAAAGAAGGGAGTTGCATTTTACAAGAGGTAAAGAGCCACATATTTGGAAAATAAGACTGGGAATTCTGTGTTTCTCAATGTTCAATGCGCCCACAAATCACCTGGGTTCTTGTCAGAATGCAGATTCTGGTTTAGGTCTGGGATTGGGCCAACATATTGCATTTCTAAGTAACTAACTTCAAGGTGACACCTATGCCTTGACTCCAAGGAGCACACCGGGAGTAGCAAGGTGACAGAGGCGGGTAACATAACAAGTGGTTTACAGCAGCAAAGGAGAAACGGAAGGACTGGGAATCCAACCAACTGGCAAGAACTCCGATCCATCTAGCCGGCCCAATCAAAGTCCGTTCTGTTTCTTTTACATCAATAGTACTCTTACAGAATTTTGAATTGAGTGAACCAGATATTACAGCAATTTAGAAATGACTTTGGGTCTTCGTTCCCCCCAGACATAGTAACCATAGTAACAAGTCCAGATGGAAGGGCATTCTACAAAATGGCCAGCTTAAGTGGGTAGAGCTGTGGGTGTTGTAAGATGGCTCTTTGTAGCTATAACATTTCATACACGTATGCTGTGGCTTTCCTGCTTCTCAGTGACTGTTAGGCCCCAGTGATGCTGTGATGAGGTAAGTTAAGCCCCCCGATGCCAAGTGCCATCCCAAGAACCAGAATTTTGGGGAAGAAGGGCTCCACGGTTATCCCCTGTTCTTTCGTTTTTTATTGCAGACATCGAAGGATGCCACAACAGCAATGGCGGCTGCAGCCATTCTTGCCTTGTGACCGAGCGGGGCTACCAGTGTGAATGCCCCCGGGGCCTGGTGCTGTCTGAGGACAACCGCACTTGCCAAGGTAGTGCTTGCAGGGGCTGGACCTCTGCTCTGATTCATGCTTCCTCTCTCCGCCCGGCTCCCTGCCGTCCTCGCCCGGATGTGTCGAGATTCTCATCTTTTAGGACGCCAGCTCTTTCAGCAGTGTGTATCCCTGCATCTTCATTCTGGAAACATACAAACAAGAAATGACCTAAGAAAAGATTACATAAAAAAAAAAAAAATTTACTTTGCTTTTTTAAAAAGTGTGGTGAGAAATATTTAACATAAAATGTACCATCCAAGCCAATTTTAAGTGTATAGCTCAGTAGTGTTAAGTACAGTCACGTGGTTGTGTAAGTATAGTCACATCTCCAGAACTTGTTCACCTTGCAATCTGCAACTCTACACTAACTAATAACCAGTAACTTCCCATTTCCCTCTCCCCCAGCATACAGTATTTGTCTTTTTATGACGGATTTATTTCACTTAGCATGTGGCCACAAGGCTCATCCATGTTGTGGCATGTGACAGGATTTCCTTTCTTTTAAAGAAGGACAATATTCCCGTGTGTGGATATACCACATTTGTTTTCTCAGTCATTCATGGATTGGCATTTGGGTTGCTCTTGACGATTGTGAATGATGCTGCTATGGGTGTGAGTGTGCAAATATATTTTTGAGATCCTGCTTGTCATTCTTCTCCATGAATATCCAGAAATGGGATTTCTAGATCATTTGGTTTCCTTTGCTTTTTCATCTTTGATTTCCCCCCCCCCCTCTAATTTCTGTTACTAATTGTAAAACTAATACTCATTTTAGAAGTGTGAGACACAATGCAGTTCTGTTTTCTAGCAGATTATTGGGCTGTGAAACTAAGTTGGAAGCCCTAGAGAACTGATTCCTCTCCCTGCAATTACAACAGGAGCCTCAACACTCCTCTGAGAACTGTTTTCTGGAAACCTGTTTATTTCTGTCCAGAACATCATTTCATTCATGCAGGAAATTTTTAATGAGCAACTATTTCTGATTTCTTTTTACTATCCCATTTATTATAATATGTCCTCAAATATTGATATTCTCCTCACGTATTTCCAGACAGTACTCATACACATTCCTTTTAGGGTGTTTGTAGAGTTGGAACCCTGAGGAAAAGCAACCTTTTTATATTCAGTGAAAGTGGAATTTATAGCCAGGGTAATGGTTTACCGAACAAAGACAATTCGGAACTCCTCCCCAAGTGCATTAACACTGCTTTTATTACCTGTTTTATGGAGCAGTAATTAACGGTAAAGCCAAAGCGGGGCCATTATATAATGTAAGCCTGCATCAAAGCAGTCGTTTTCTGAATTGCCAATGAATTGTGTTTGTGCTAGGTTAGTCCTCCTGGGTGTCTCAGTTCATGGAGTTATGTCAGCCATACTTTGAAATGTCCGTCGAACTGAAACTTGAACATACTAGCTCCTCATCTGGGGGGTAATATCCTCAGGAGCATCATTTGACCACGGCTTTGGGAGGCAGGAGTCCCGGTTGTATCCACCAAATGCTTAGAGCTTCGTAGATTTCCTTGAGGAGAGGACAGAAAGCTGAGCCTGCACGGTGGTGAAATGAATTCTTCTAGAAGCCTCCGCCGGGCTCTCGGTCTAACGGGAGCCCCTCTCTCCGCAGTCCCCGTGCTGTGCAAGACCAGCACCATCGAGGTGAGCGTGCCCAGGGACCTGGTGGGCGGGCTGGAGCTCTTCCTGACCAACACCTCCTGCCGGGGCGTGTCCAACGGCACCCACGTCAACATCGTCTTCTCCCTCAAGACGTGCGGCACGGTGGTCGACGTAGGTTCCCCCGGGGCCCGGGGAGTGAGTGACCAGCAGCCGGTCCCTGGGGAGGGAGTGGACAGGGGTGTGCGCCACGGCCTGTCTGAGAGGAACTATTTCCATAGGAAAGAATGGATTTCAAAAAATCTAACGCCACTCGTTTAACACATCGATTATTGCGCACGAGCTGTGGTCCTGGCACCATGGGGATAGCAAGTTAAAACGAATTCTACTATTTCTGTTCTCAAACTGCCTGATCGCCAACGTGTGCAGACATTGTCCCGAGTGCTTCGGCACCCGTGTGTCTCACCTGAAGGAAGCGACCGATATACACGGAGGCCCACTGATGAGGCAGCGATGAGCCCAAGCACTGAGCCAGGTGGAGGCAGAAGGTTGGCACTTTGATCCAGGAACCTGTGCTCCTCCCCCTGCTGGGGAGCCTCGGGGATATGAAATAGAGATTCCTGATTTTTTACAGAGAAAAGGGAGAGAGATAGAGAGTTAGAAACATCGATGAGAGAGAAACATCCATCAGCTGCCTCCTGCACACCCCCTACCGGGGATGTGCCCGCAACCAAGTTGCATGCCCTTGACCGGAATCAAACCTGGGACCTTCCAGTCCACAGACCGACACTCTAACCTCGGAGCCACACCGGCTTCGGCATTTAGAAACATATACAGTCGTATTGAGGGGACGATGCACACAAAACATGACATAGAAGAGTTAGTGTTCCAGGCGAGAGGGGCTGTCGGAAGCCAGGAAGGGACAGACCTGGAGCAGCCACGGCAAGCAGGACTTGCACGGGGGTGGGAGCATGAGTGTGGTTGCACGTGGCTGACAGGCGGAGGGCAGAAGAACGGGCGTTCAGATGGGACACACACGAGCAAGTCCCAGGGACGGGAATCCCCGCGCGTATGCTGGGCTCTGGGGCCTCCCTGACAAGGAGCTCGTTTGGGGGGAGAAAGCTGGAGGAGAGGTGCCCCCAGACATCTGCCTTGGGCGCTAGGGTGAGGACCTGGGGTTCAGCAGGCCCGGTGTGATGATGACATCAGAAGGAGCGGGGAAAGAGGACTGGGTCCTGGGGGTCAGTGCAGAGGCCCTTGTCATCATTTAAACAAACGGATTTTGTTTTTTTTTAATGTGATTAAGATAAAAATCAGAGCGCTGTTAAGCCCTGGGGTGAGCTGTGGAGGAGATGTCCCAGGAGAAGGCCGTCAGCGTTAGGCGAGCTGTGTTTATTCTCTGTGCGTAGCAGCAGGGACGTGCCCGTGAGGCGTCAGGCGGGGCTGGACATAAAGAGCTGAAAATCATGCAGCCGCTGAAGTTCTGCAGGCCGATGAGGTCAGCGTGAGGTCGTGCCGCGGCAGGATCCCCAGGCCTAAGATTACAGAAAAAATAACCCGCAGAGGCTGCTCTCTGCGAAAACACTGGCGCTTTGAATGTGCTGACTCTGCACAGCTCAGCCTTCAGAAGCAGCATTCCTAGGAATGTGGGGGTGGACCATGGAGCAGTATGCAAAGAATCATTGAAAAGCTCCGGGCTTCAGCAGCCCAGTGTCTCATGTGCTTTGAGGTTTGGAGATGGTTCTGATTAAGAGGAAGTGGGGGAGAAACTGTAGGAATGAATGTGAGTAACCTCTCTCCCCTCTCTTGGCCCGGGCCGGGCTCAGGTGGTGAACGACAAGATCGTGGCCAGCAACCTGGTGACGGGGCTCCCCAAGCAGACGCCCGGGAGCAGCGGGGACATCATCATCCGGACCAGCAAGCTGCTGATCCCCGTGACCTGCGAGTTCCCGCGCCTCTACACCATCTCCGAGGGCTACGTGCCCAACCTGCGCAACGCGCCGCTGGAGCTCCGGGGCCGCAGCCGCGGCGTCTTCCCCTTCACGCTGGAGATCTTCCGGGACCGCGCGTTCGCCGAGCCCTACCGGGAGGCCCTGCCCTCCCTCAAGCTCCGGGACTCCCTCTACTTCGGCATCGAGCCCCTGGTGCACGTGAGCGGCCTGGAGAGCCTGGTGGAGAGCTGCTTCGCCACCCCCACGGCCAAGATCGACGAGATCCTCAAGTACTACCTCATCCGGGATGGGTAACGGCGCTGCTTAACCCGCGTGTTGTTGTTTTTTTTTAAATATATTTTATTGATTTTTTACAGAGAGGGATAGAGAGTTAGAAACATCGATGAGAATCATCGACCAGCTGCCTCCTGCACACCCCCTACTGGGGATGTGCCCGCAACCAAGGTACGTGCCCTTGACCGGAATCGAACCTGGGACCTTTCAGTCCGCAGACCGACGCTCTATCCTCTGAGCCAAACTGGTTTTGGCTTAAATCGTGTATTCCTCCCAGGTCACGTCCGACCTCTAAGTGCACACGTGTACTCGGTCCTTTCCCAGAATGACTCAGCACTCTGGCCAGCTCTTAAGTAATTCAGAAACCACTTATTGACATGTTGGAGGTGGAAACTGGGGATGGGGAGAGGAGAGTCAAAAATGACTCCAAGGGATCTGGCTCAGATGACCACCTACATGCCATTCATCAAGACAAGAGGGTATAAGTAGAAAAGCAGATGTGAGGTTAAAATGTTGAGTATGGTCATTCTGAATAACAATATTGAATTGTAAACGCCAGCAGCAGGATGCACAGGAAGAGAGGTCAGGGGGCACTGGGAAATGCATATCAGACCCAGGAACGAGGTCAGGACCGGAGGGAAAAGAGAGAGTGCCCCGTCTGTGGTGGAAGCTGTGGGACTGATTCACCTGCTCCGAGAGGGCAGAGCGTGAGTGCCAGGTGGGGCTGCCCAGTGTGAGGGGAGGAGGAGCTGGAAGCAGCGAGTGTAGACGCCTCTTCTCAGATGCTTGATTAACGAAGAAGTAGTTGGTAGCTTTTAGGAGAAGAAAGATCAGACTGATGTACTTTTGTTGGCTTGCTTGTACCAAGGGGACTTCATATCTCCTAAGGCTCCTTGGATTGCTAGTAAGAACCGTGTGTGTCTCAGGTGCCATTGGGAGCTCAGCGGTCTCACGCCCTTTGCTCATGTGGCCAGAGTGTCCACACGGACACCCACACTCAGAGGGGCAGCTCCCGTGTCTTCCTTGTCCTCCTGTCAGGTGGCATGTCTCAGGCAGGGCCGGGGGCTGCAGTGTGAAGAGAAACGGCCTCCTAAGACCACAGCAAGGGTGCCCCCTGCCGTGCACCCCACCACCTGATCCGATAGACCCTTGGAAACATCTGCTTTGCTTGCACTTCTCCACATCTCTCACCACTGCTGCTCACAGTCTCTTGCTAAGTGATTGTCAATCCCTGATGCACATTAGGATCAACTGAGAAACTTAAAAAAAATTTTTTTTTAAATAAAAAGTCCAGCTGGTGTGGCTCAGTGTTTGCGTGTCAACCAGACAATCATGGTTCAGTTCACAATCAGGTCACACGCCCAGGTTGCAGGCTTCATCTCCACTAGGAGGCATACAGGAGGCAGCTGATCAATGCTTCTCTCTCTTCACTGATGTTTCTCTATCTCCCTCTCCCTTCCTCTCTGAAATCAATAAAAATATATTTTAAAAATATATTTTAAAATAATAATCACAAAGCCCAGACCTCATTCTCTCTATTCCACTCTCACTGACTAATTCCAGCCCTCGTTATCTTCCAGCACCGCCTCCTAACTCTCAATTGTGGGCTCCAGGGTCCCTGGGCAGCCATTCCAAAGGAAAACATACAGATTGTCACGCCCCTGCTGGAAACTTTTTAATGGCTCTTGATTTTCTCTGGTTGGTAAATGTAACTGTTCACCAGAGGGAATGCTTCTGGCTTCAGATTCCTGGCATCTCTCGGCGTGCTTTTAGAATATGGAAATTTGTCATTCCGAGCTGCTTTGGATGGCAGTAACAGGCCTCACTGTGGAGTCTTTTGGAATTATTGCCATCTTAGAGAGTGATCTCCAGAAAGTTTTAAAAGGAAAAGTAGAAGTATCCTTATTTTTTATTTTTTATTTTTAGTCACATACTCAATGCTATGTAGATTAGGGAATTGATTTCCTTTGGAGAGAAGAGTGGATTTTGGCTGCTTTTTTATTTTTATTTTTATTTTTTACAGTTTTATTGGAGTACTATTGGCATACAATTAATACACGTATTTAAAGTGTACAGTTTGTATATATTCATGAAGCTATGACTACCTTCAAAATAGTGAGCATTTCCCTAACAACAAGAGTTCTCTTCTGCCTCATATTTCCTTTGCAAAAATAAATGTATAATCATTCTTCACTTACTGGGAAAACATGTAATCTGCAACCTCAATTAAGCTTGTGAAGTTTATTAATATATTCATTATTCAGACATCTTTTATTTAGACAGTTCTAAGAAACTGTGCTACTTAATTTTCCAGCCCTCTGCATACAAAGCAGAAAAAAGAAAGCTGCGGAAGACATTAAATGCTTAAAAAGTAGAAGGCAAGAACTCAAAGACACAGCTGTATGGGCCTCGTTAGTAAACAGGCAAAGAGTCCCATCTCCAGTACAGTAGTGGGACACAGTACTGGGCACATGGATTAATCCCACAAAATAAAACTCAGCTCTCAGCGTGCCTCCCTGTGCCTCCCCCTCTGACCTCTACCTTCTCCAGTTTCTGCTCAGGCCGGAGGGAGCTGTGAGCAAGTCCCAAACTCTGTTGTTCCTTACACCCTCCTGCCTCTGTGCCTGCTATTCCCTCTGCCTGACATCTTTCTTCCTGTGTAGTCTTTACCGGATATTTCCTCCAGGAAGCCTTTCTGGATTCCTTCCAGCCTGACTAGAAACCATCCTTCCTTCTACTTCCTCTTCAGTGCCTCGCCTAGAGTGAGGACCACTGAATATTTGCCTAATGGATTTTTTTTTTAATTTTTATTTCCCGTCTCCATTTATCTCCCATTTGCCTTCTTCTACCTCTTCCCACACCCCCTTCCCTCTGACAATCACCATTCTGTTGTCTGTGTTCATGAGTCTCTCTTCGTTTTTTGCTTAGTTTCTTCACCTTTCTCACCTAGCCCCCCAACCTCCACCCCTCTCTGACAGGAATCAGTCTGTTTTCTGTAACTATGGAGTCTAAGGAGTCTTTGCATAAGTATCATAATAGTGCAGAGCCCTTAAATAAACATAATATCACACTTATAAATTGTTAGATGATTCATGGTCCTCAGCGTAAATTTAAATGAGGCTGGTTTCCCCTGATATTTAACACATGACTCACCTCCCTCTAGTGTGAGTTGATATGTGCTCTGAGAATGCAAAATAATTTCATACCAGCCTAGGAAAGCAGATTTAGAAAATTAACCTCCAAAAGAAGAAATCTATTGAATTCCAAAGTCAAATATTGGGCAACTTTTGGATGATCAATTTCTTTGGATTGTCATATGTCATTGGCCTTTCGTTTAGTGAACTTAAAGCTGATAGGACTAGCATTATCTAATCACAGTAAACACCAACTCAAGAGCCAGAATTTGTCCTGGGTCTTAGGCTGCAATGTGTTACCCAGAAACAGCTCTTTCTGCCTCATTTTCTCTTTTAAAGAAAAAGTGTAGTATTTCTATTTATTTTTAAATTTAAGAGTATATTTTATTCAACCAAGTTTCTTCAAAATATTACCATTCAACATCTAATCAATAAAACTATGTTAGTGATTATTTTACTTAGACTGCTAAGTCTTTGAAATCTAGTGTATATTTACACTGTAAATACATCTCAATTCATTTTTATTTTTTGTTTGTTTTTTTGGTTAATCCTCACCTGAGGATATATATTTTTCCATTGCTTTTTTTTTTTTTTTTTTTTTCAGAGAGAGTGGGGATAGAGAAAAGAGAGAGAGAGAAAGAAACATCAATGTGAGAGAGCCACATCAACTGATTGCCTCTTGCAATCACCCTAACAAGGAGTGGAGAGTGAGCCTGTATCCCAGGGATGTGCCCTTGACTGGGAATCAAACCTCTGACCCTTCAGTGGGCAGGCTGATGCTCTGACCACTAAGTACACCGGCCAGGGCTATTTTATTTTATTTTTATAATTGATTTTAGAGAGAGAGAGGCAGGGAGAGAGACAGAGAGAGAGAAAAACACTGATTTGTTGTTCCACTTATTTATGCCTTCCTTGGTTGATTTTTGTATGTGCCTTGACCAGGGACTGAACCTGTAACCTTGATGTATCAGGATAATACTCTAACCAAATGAGCTACCTGGCCAGGGCCTTTATTTTATTTTTTTATTCCCAATTTCCCAGCCCCTACTGCTTTCAGATAAAGAAAATTTGAAAATGCTGAAACACTTAGTGAAAATGCCATTTTAATATTGTTACATTATTATAATAAACATTGGGCTATAAGCTCTTGATTTCATAGACCATATTGTTCACCTTTATATCCTCTGCAGCATCCAGCAGAGTGTATTGCACAGATTAGATGTGCAATAGGATTTATCATAGACCATGATTAGAAGATGATAAAAATTAATTTCACCTAAGAAAAATGAAAATTAACACAAGAAATAATAGAAATTCATTATATGTTTAGGTCCTCTTCAATTCAGAGGAATAAGCTAGTAATAGAAATACAAGTCAAGATGCCTTATTTTTAAACAATTTTATTGGCCTTTTTACTGCACTGAAAGAGCAATTAGCAGTTCCTAGCACGTGGCCTGTTAGCACCAGGAGCAGGCATCCGGTTTCACAGGCTTTTCTATCTGATTTCCCCCACTTTCCCCGGGCTGGTAGACGGGCTGGTAGACGGGAGCTGTTAGGTATCCATAAAAAGAAAGATGTACTTATAAGAAGGAAGTTCATTTAGACTCCATAATGGAAATGATACTACAGTGTGACCCTCGGCCTCTCATCTTTAAGGAGAAAAGTTCGTAATGCTAAATCTTGGCCTCCAACTGGAGAATCCATAATACTTCTTTCCCCCAGCTGACCCTGTGGTGAGCCTAGGAGTTCCCTTTCAGCAGGAGATCTGAGATTCAAACCCCACAAGCCTGCTAACCTACAACTTTGTGTTACATTTGGGAAGAAGAATTAAAACAATTTGGCAGTGAATGACTTTTCCCCAAAAGAACCAGCTATTTATTCTCTAAGAAACCTTTGGTCTTCATGCAGCTCTTTGATGCAAGAATTGGCGTTTGGCTCACCCTTGAATTCCCTTCAGGGGTGAACTATCTATTAGGTATTCATAACTATTTATGAAATCTAAGGAAAGGCTTTCTCAAACCAATAATAAAGCATGGGAATGCAGAATTCCTGCAACATATTACAGTTTTAAACACAAAAGGTACCTTTGAAACAAATGCTGCTGCTGTTGCTAATACTTCAATACACTGACTTAGCCGGAGGTCCTTGTGCCAGTTTGTGGGTACAGTGAGTGACAGGTGGGACAGACAGTGCTAATGAGCAGGGCTGGGTCTGAAGGGAATTTCCTTTTTCCTTCATTCTCAAAAAGCTTGAGCGCAGCCCAGCCTCCTCCACCCAGGCCCCCTCTCCTTGGACCAGACACGTCAGCCGGGGTTGATTTTCCACCTCTGCTTAAGCAATCAAGTCTGACGTGCCGCCCTGCCCTGCTTCCAGTTGTGTTTCAGATGACTCCGTGAAGCAGTACACAGCCCGGGATCACCTAGCGAAGCACTTCCAAGTCCCTGTCTTCAAGTTTGTGGGCAAAGACCACAAGGTGAGTGAGCCCCCCACACCCCCTCCAGCCCACTCCCTGAGTCTTCCCTCTTAATATCCCAACTTGGTGACATTCTCTGAGCCACAGTTATAATCCGCATTACCTCTATGGAAAATGCTACAAAACTGGCCATCTAGAAGCTTAGCACCTTCATGAATGTCGTAATATCGGCCCCTCCCAATACAATAGCTGTGTTTGTTCAAAGAAAGTACTAGATGATCACAAGTTTAAATCCTTGTGGGCAGGTCTGGGTGAAAAAGCCTGAATTATGGTCACATGGTAAAAAGTAAGCACAGGAAATTCACAGAAAACACAAACAGTGAAATATTGAGTGAAAGTGGTACTTAAAATGCCAACTAAAACCATTATAAGACTCTATTAATACATATCTATACTAATAAAAGGGTAATATGCAAATTGGTCAGGATGCCCTCATAGTAACAACCAAACAGCAGGCTGCCTGGGGCGACCAGGCCAGCAGGGGGGTTAGTGAGGGACAACCAAATGACTGAACAGCAGACTGCGTGGGGTGACCAGGCCAACGGTGGGGGGGACAGTTGAGATGACCAAGCCAGTAGAGGGGGGCAGTGAGGGGCAATCAGGCAAGTCGGGGAGGGCAGTTGGGGGCAACCAGGCTGGTTTAGGTGATTGGGCCTAAATCGGCAGTCAGACATCCCCCTCCAGCAGTTAGGAGCCAGCGGTCCCGGACTGTGAGAGATCCTGGATGGTGTGGGCTCTCGCTGTGCCCAATCCCCTAAACCAGCTTATACTGGCCATCAGATATCCCCCAAGGGGTCCCAGATTGGAGAGGGTGCAGGCCTCTAGTTAATGTATAAAAATTATAAATCACAATACTCTAAATTATAAAAAGTATACAGTGGCCTTATAAATTGGTATACTTTCTGAAAAGTTGCCTGACAATATTTAATAATAACCATAAAATAAGCATGTTCTTCTTTCTAAAAATTCCAATTCTGACAATTTCTCAAAAACAAGCAAGCAAAAGAAAAAACACACACAAAACTTATAGGATGTTTATAGAGCATTGTATAAGGAGAGTGGAAAAAAAAAATCCCCCAAACAAACAAATAGGGCTACAGTATATCAATTAGCACAATGTTAGGTAGTTATTGAAGTGGTATAGAAATATGGAAATATAGAAAAGGGAGACATGAAAAGACTTGTCATGACAGTTTACATGTGTGTTGAAATGCTACATTTTTTAAATGTACATACATGGCTACAGAGGTTATAAGCGGCTCTCTACCATAGGGTAAGGTGGAAGGTTTTTGTTTGAATAGAGTTGTTGAAACATTTCAACAAAAAGTTCCAGAGACAGTGATCTTTTCCACGCTGCATACAAGTGCATTGATGTCCTTCCCTGCTACATCCCTGCCAGGGAGGGCCCACTGTGATGGGGTGTCCTGGGTCCCTCCTCAGCCAGCAGCTGCTTGGAGAGCCACTTGCAGGAGGAGCTGGGAGGAAGGACCAGCCTGACACAGAGGTGCCTGGGAGCGGATGGCATGCCTCCCTCTGAGGCAAGAATGAAGATGCTGGTCACTAGGTGTTGCCCTTACAAAGGCCGCTCCTGGCCCCACACCAGTGAATCCGTTATGCATGCGGTGTCTTCTGTCTCCGAGGACTCTGTCTGCCGCATGGCTGAGTGCGAATTTGGGCAAATTCCCTCCCTCTCTCCTCGTTTCCTCATCCGTAAAACAGTCATGATAGCATCTGCCTCAAAGGGTGCTGTTTAGATGACATGAGATGACATACAGGAAGTATGTGGTACGGTGTCTGGTGATCGCTGTGACCACTGTTTCTGTTCCTCACAGGAGGTGTTCCTGCACTGCCGGGTGCTGGTGTGCGGGCGGCTGGAGGAGCGCTCCCGCTGCGCCCAGGGCTGCCACCGGAGGGCGGGGCGGGAGGCCCGCGGGGAGGGCGCCCTGCACCCCCCGGAGGACGCCGGTCTGCAGAGCCAGGTGCTGACAGGCGGCCCAATCCGCATCGACTGGGAGGACTAGGACTTGGACCGCCCAGCCCTGGCTTCCGGCTGCCCGCCTGCTTGGAGCTTCTTCCCGTGACCTCTGAGGACATCGGTCAACGCTAGATCCCTGCCCTTCTTTAAACATCACGTGTGGGTGTGGACGGACTCCCGGACTGGCTCCCTCTGACCTGGCTCACTGCTGACCGGCCTGACCCTGTCAGGGCTGCATCCTCCCAAGGTCAAAGCTATGCTGCCCACACAGAAGACAGCTCCGATCCCCCATTGCTTTTCTACAGTCAACCTCCTTCGTAGTAAATCACCCAATCAGAAGTTTGGCATGTCATTTCAAATTAAGAAATTAAAAAAGTTAAATAGTTGCTTGAAACGATGACTTAAATACCCAATGATCCCTTAAATATGTAAATAATATTATACCCTGAAATTTCAGTTCAAATACAGACTAGTTACCGGGGACTCAGAAGTTTATCCATATAAGTGTGTACTAAAAAATACTATTTGGTTTTTCTCTCGCACAATATTTTCTTTTGACATTTTTGTGTTGTTTTAAGAAATATCTTCAATTAATAAATGTTATTAAATTCATTACCATGCATTTAGGTGGTTCAATGACAACTTTAGACAAAATTAAAATGTGGTGTCATATGCTGTTATTTGGCATTCTGTGTCCTCAGATGGATAAGTGAATAGAAAAAGGTATAAAATTACACCATGCTCTATTTTGTAGGTGCTTCATTAATTTTATTGAAATAAACCACAGAGATAAATTTGATCTGCAGTTAAATCCAATTTCTTAATAAGCCAATTAATTTCATGGGTTTACATAAGATCAGAAAACAACTTTTCTTCTTTTGCTTTTTAGAAATGGCTGCCATCAACCATCCTTAATGGAACCAGTGATATTAACAAGAGGAAAGGAAAGGAGAGAGTGAACTCCATCAGGGGTTTGCCAAGTGTTTCTGTAAGGGCCTCCTGGTAACTGTTCTGGGCCGTGCCGTCTCTGCCACAGCTCGGCTCTCGGCCCGGGAGCAGCCACGAACACACGTGGGCACAGTTATGTTCCATCACACTTCCCGGCAGCGGGTGCTGGGCCTGAGTCAGTCCATGGGCTTCCGTCTGCCAGTCCCTGATCCGGTGGCCTCAGTCCTCATGGGGCGTCAGAGTCGCTTTAGAAATCACCAGCACAGGCAAACCTCAGAGATAGTTCCCGTCAGCTTCCAGACCCGACAACAAAGCGAGTCACATGATCTTTTTTCTGGTGGAAGGTCTTGCCTTCAATTTGTAAAAATGCAACACCTGTGGAGGGCAAGCAAGCCGAGCGCAATGGCAGGTGCGCCTGTCTGTAGATACACCCCCCGCCCCCCCAACCCCCGCCAGAGCCTCTGTGGCTGCTGCTCCTCAGGGATTCTAACCTGCCCTCAGGGCTGAGAACCACCCTTTGGGGAATGGCCCAAAGCCTGCCCCTCAGCTTTTAGGGGTTTTTCCAAGTTATCTTTAATGGCAGTTCCTACCCAGTGCTCCTCAGACCTTCACATGACACGGAGGCCACCTAGCACTTGGGGGTATCAACAGAATAGCTGACTGAGTGAAAAAAATGGAACCTCAGAGACCAGACTCCACCTGCTCTCGGCCTCCATGGCTTCGGTCAGGTAAGTCTCTGCACACGGGCTCCGATCCCTTCGGCACCAGCGGGAAGAACGTATTGTTGAGGGAACTTACCGAGTTGATTCTGTTTTCTTCTAAGTGAAAAGGAAGCGTGTTGGTGATAGTGAGATTCAAGCATCTCTTTTCAAATGTTCTAGAAAGTACACTTTATTATATATGTGGGATGCTTACTGGCAATTGAGACATGGACCAGAGGCAAGTCATTGCCTCCCAAACGGCTGGACTCTCCAAAATTTCACTTGTGAATAGAATGATAGAGTCCAAGAATCCCAGTAGTTAGTCTTTATTTTAGTCTTTAAGAACTGAATTTCCAGGCAAATGTGTCTTGGTTGGAGGGACCAGTGTTAAAGCGACGCGCAGCCTTCAGTTCACGTCTTTTTTCCAATTATCCTCAAAGGATGGGACTTGCTTTTCAGGTGTAGCCTGTCTCCTTTCTCCTGCCTGGTGGCATCCAAACTCTTGGAAGAAAGGATGAGACACATCTGCCACACTACCATCTCCGAGACTGACAGCCGTGGTGTCCACTCAAACCAAAAAGGAAACACCTTCCCTATAACTCTTCTTTCTCCTCTTCTGCGCAGATGCAGGCTGCCCGCTGACTATTCATAAAGGGTCGGCAGCCCAAGGTCCATACGGTATTAAACACGGTGTCAGCCAGAGAATCACATGCTGTTTGAAAAAGATGTAGAGAAGCAGAAAGGTTAATACATAGAACTGCCCCCAAGTAGCATGAGTAATTTTAACGGGTCAATGTAGCTCCGAGGTTGGCATGATACCCAGAGGAAAGTACAGGCAATACCTGAATACAGGATTCAAAGGAAAGGAGTTTGGTGGTGGTGTGTGTTTTTGTTTTTTGGGTGTTTTTTTTTAGGGGGGGGGTTGTTTGTTTGTTTGTTTGTTTGTTTTCAGAAAAGCTTCTATCCAATCCGTAGAGCAGAATACATTTTGGGCACTGCCAAGTAGCTCAGTTGGTTAGAGCATCATCCCAATCATCCCAATAGGCCAGGGTTGTGGATTCAATTTCTGGTCAGGGCACATACAAGAATCAATCAATGAATGCATAAATAAGTGGAACAAAGAATTGTTGTTTCTCTATCTCTCTAAAAATCAGTCAATAAAATAATACATTTTGGGGTGCCCTATCTTTATGGGTCTCCAGGTCAAAACCATGATTACCAATCAGCATCTTCTATATCACTATGCTCACTCCATGGCAAATGTACCATTTTTGCAGAATACTTGCTCAGATAACACTATTGTTTCCTGTAGCTTTCCCTGTGGGATGGATAAGCATTTACTCGTTGAAAAATCAAGTGTGCCTGTTGGGTATGTTGGCCAGCCACTGTAAGGCATCAGGGACACAGAGGCCAAAGGGATCTCAACTCAAGGGTCTCACAGTTTGGACAAAGAGGAGGATAGGCTAGACAGGTAAACATATAGTCACACCACACCAGAATGGAAGTTACCCCACGTGGTATGGAGCCCACAGTCAGGGTCTCATCCCTGTGTGGGTAAGAATTATTATGGAAGGGTCTCAGATCCCTTAAAATTTTGATAGGGATTTCATTAAAAATATAGATTCCTTTGGGTAGTATGGACATTTTAAAAAGTTTATTGAGCCCTCTCTGGTTTAGCTCAGTGAATAGAGTGTTGACCAATGGACTGAAGGGTCTCAGGTTCATTTCAGGTTAAGGACAAGTACCTCGGTTGCAGGCTCAATTCCTGGCCAGATTGGGAAGCAACCAACCAAACATCTCTCACATTGATGTTTCTCTCTCTCTGTTTCTCCTCCTCCCTTGCAAACTCTCTAAAAAAAAAAAAAAAATCAATGGAAAAATAACCTCTAATGATGATTAACAATGACAAAAAAGTTTATTGATTTTAGAGGGAGGGAGAGAGAGACATTGATCTGTTGCTCCCTTCCCATCAATGCATTCATTCATTGCTTCTTGTATATGCCCTGACCAGGGATCAAACCACAACCTTGGTGTAAAGAGATGACACTTTAACCAACTGAGCTACCAACCAGTGCCATGGACATTTTTAACAATTTGTTAATTCTTCCAATCCATGAGCACAAACTACCTTTCCATTTATTTGTGTCTTCCTCAAATTTTTTCATCAAAGTCTTATAGTTTTCAGTATATAGGTCTTTCACCTCCTTGATTAAATCTATTCCTAGGTATTTTATTATGTTGATGCAATTATAAATGAGCTTTTTAAAAAATTATATTTCTAATAGTTTGTTATTATATAGAAATGCAACAGGTTTTTATATATTAATTTTGTGTACTGCAACTTTACTGAATTATTTATTAGTTCTAACAGGTTTTTTTACAAGTCTTTAGGGTTTTCTATATATAACGTCACCTGAAATGGTGACAGTTTTAGGTCTGCCATCCCTACTTGGATGGCTTTTATTTCTTCTTCTGGCCTAATTTTTCTGGCTAGGATTCTCAATACTATGTAGGGTATAAGTGGTGAGAGTGGATATCCATGACTTGTTCCTGATTTTAGAGGGAAAGCTTCCAGCTTTTCACCTTTGATAAAACTGTTTGAACAACAATAAAACATGAATTATAAGAGTGTTCCAAGCAGAGGGAACTGCAGAAACAGAAAGATATGGACCATCATCCCAAGTAGTTGGGAATGGCAGGAGCCAGGAGAGAAATCAGAAATAAGCAAGTTGATGCTGAAGAGGTAGGCTAGCGGTGGACATACCCTGGTATGTTTGTCACACGAAGGAGCTTGGATTCACTCTTAACGAAAAAGAAGGTGGCCAGATTTTTGTTGTATAAAATATACCTGGTCCCTTTGGGGAGAATGAATTTGATGGGACCCAGAGTTTGAGTTAACTTGCAGGAACCAGGCAAGTTACCAAAGAGATGTTTGGGAAAAGAATCTATAGGACATCACTTAAAGGAAGTAGCCTGACCTGACCCTAGATTCGCAGCAGGTACTTCCTCACCCTTTGTAGGTACAGATGGGGGATCTCCCTCTGCAGGGCCCAAGCAATTATCCACCTTCCAAGCCCTCACAGACTCACTTAGGACTACACCCTTGGCATGGATCTTTAAATAAGATCCAAGATTTCCCACCCCTGCAGCATATAGTCAGCTCTGTAGATGCCTGACTTTCAAACATCACTCTCTAAAAACACATAATGCTAATACCTGGATGTGATTTTCTGGCTCCAGAAACTAGGGATTAAAGCTTTTCCTACAGTGAATTAGGAAAAAGAAACTACAGAATCAGTGCTAGAAATCAGATAGCTAAATGTCTGTTAAAAACAAAACTATCCTCTCCCAGCCAGGGTGGCTCAGTGGCTGAGCCTTGACCTGTGTATGAACCAGGAAGTCACGGTTGATTCCAGGTCACGGTACATGCCTGGGTTGTGGGTTTCAACCCCAATATATTTGTATTGCTTCCTCTCTGAAAGCAATAAAAATATATATTTTTAAAAATAACTATCCTCAAGCGTATGTAGACCTTTACACAAGAAAGTTTTTTTTTTTTAAATTATTTTCTTGACTGAGAACAAAATAATAGCCAAACCAGGTGGTCCCATACAGAATAACTCCTTTTATGGCAAATGATTTAACAGTGGAATGGGTAACTAAAGCCAGCTGGGCACCTCTCTCCCCAGCCTTAAAGGGTACGTTTTTATATCTCTGGGAAGGCGTTGGTGTGGCGCTGGCCATCGCGAGTGGCGCCAGCGGCTCCTGGGCAGGAACGTCAGCCAAGAGTGCGGCTCCCGCCCCTCAGCCTGTGTGTGGCTCAGTGCTCCATAAGGTTCCCGGAGCGCTAATGGCCGCTGTGAGCGAAGGGGCTCTGGCTGCATGTCTGTGCGAAAACAGGAACAAACGTCCTGCTCAGAGGCAGGTGCCCTTAGGATACCTACTTGCCACTTTGGAGACGAAGCCCAGACTTCGCTTGAGGTCCGAGCAGATAGAGTGGAGGCACCATCGGAATTTTGCATCACAGCGGTACTTGTTGGCACCGCAGGTGTCGTAACAGGCGTCCAGCTGGTTGCAGCACTTGGTCATGGCTGGAATTCCCAGGTCCATCTGGGGAAAGAGAGCGAAGAAAACGCCACGTTTAGACCCAGGACCTCAGGCAACCTTGCCCGCGTACTTGGCGAGCCAGTTCTCAAATTCCTGCTACACTTTCAGATCCACTGAGAAACACCAGGGACTTGAGAGAATGCAGCAGGTTGATAGTCGGGATTCTAAATTTCTATCACAATTTACTTGTTAATTCACAGGTCACTATGGTGATGAAAATAGAAATCAGAACGCCAGTTCAGAGAGCAGAGTTTCAAAACATCCAAATTCAACTAAAACGTATGTGAGATGTTGTTTAAGCCAAGGATCCCAAGGCTCAGAATTATGAGAACTGAAGCCTTAACTCATCAATAGGACACCTGAATTTATCAGAGACCCTCCCCATTCAGCGCTGTGTTAATGCGGGGGGCGGGGAAGGCGTACATGTTGGGGAGCAGAGGCAGGTATAGGACACAGTTCCTGAACACAGGGGACTCTGGTCTAACGGCAATATCTAATGCACAGCCGGACCTGCGTTTAGAAGCGTCCGATAAGCCATTGTAAATGTGGCATAAACTGAGTGAATTCATAGAATGCCATCTGTAAAGTAATAAAATGGGAATTTTTTAAAGGATTTTGAAAGAAGATGAAGAGAGAGTTAACAGAACTAAAGGTAGCCTTAGAACATAGCAGGGAACGAAAGGAAATAATGAGCAAATCATATTGTGAGTGAATTTGTTTGTTAATCTTTCAAGAGTCTTTCTAGGGAAATACATACATATAAAAAGTTTTTCTCAGAGCCTTAGCTGGTGTGGCTCAGTGGATAGAGCATCGGCCTGCGGACTGAAGGGTCCCAGGTTTGATTCCAGTGTCCACCTGCCTGGGTTGCAGACTCAATCCCCAGTGGGGGGCAGGGGGATACAAGAGGTAGCCGATTAATTATTCTCTCTCATCATTGATGTTTCTATCTCTCTCTCCCTCTTCCTTTCTAAAATCAATAAAAAAATATTTAAAAAAAAAAAAAAGTTTGCTTTAGAGAGAAGAGTAAGTTGATGGATGACCTTGACTTCCAAAGTTAGTAGATTTGATAAACACTCTTGAGCGAGGAGGGGACATGGTCCAAAGAGTGATCAGAGAAGAGTAATTGTTTTTCTGTGTAAAAAATAGATGGGAACAGGCCCTGGCCAGGTAGTTCAGTTGGTTAGAGCATCATCCTGCTCCACCAGGGTTGTAGGTTTGATCCCCCATCAGGGTGTATACAAGAAATAACCAGTGAATAAATGCATAAATAAGTGAAACCACAAATTGACGTTTCTCTCTCCTTCTCTCTCTACCTTGCTCTCTCTTTCTTACACATCAATCAATAAAAATAAAAATAAAAAATAGATGGAAACAGGGTGGGTCTAGATATAGATAAAGCATCTTAGAATCTTTTGCAGTTTTTCTGATATATATATATATATATATATATATATATATATATATATATATACACAAACACACACACACACATACTTGAACTTGGATGGAATCTGTGGAAATCTGGCTTCAGGGCATGGTTGGGGAATTATAGTCAGTGATTATAGGTGCTTTCCCCTTAGGTATCCGTAAGTGTTCTCTCCTTTAAACTTTTATTCCGAGGCCACTTAAAGCAGAATATGGAGTCTGGCAGTTTAAAATGCCCTTTTAGCCGAAACCGGTTTGGCTCAGTGGTAGAGCATCAGTCTGCGGACTGAAAGGTCCCAGGTTCGATTCCGGTCAAGGGCATGTACATTGGTTGTGGGCACATCCCCAATAGGGGGTGTGCAAGAGGCAGCTGGTCGATGTTTCTTTCTCATGACACTTCTAGCTCTCTATCTCTCTCCCTTCCTCTCTGTAAAAAATCAATAAAATATATTTTTTAAAAATAAAATAAAATAAAATGCCCTTTTAAGCAACATTAAGAGGTCATATAACTCATTATTAGATTAGGCAAAGGCCTGGACTCTGCAATTCTGAGTAAATCACATTATCTGATACCTGAAGAAAACTACTTTGCTTGTACCTCATCTCTAAAACTACAAATATATCACAATAGAGGTAACTGAGAATTAGATGAGTATAGTGGCTATTATTCAGTTCCATTCCATTGGAAATTCTTGAACTAGTTTTCAATGTCAGCAAACAAAATGACATTACTTCCAAAATATGGTGCATGCCACTTCTATAACTACTAAATTGGTATCCAGTAAAATATATTGGCCAAAAATCGGTGGTGGTGTTTCTATGTAAATGCAGAGTAGGGCGAAAGTAGGCACCCAAAACAGAGAGTTTATCCTTGTGTTATTATTTATGAACTATTGTATTATTTTCCATACAAACAACTGTAAACCTATTTTTGCTCCACCTTTTATTATTTGAAATTATTGTTTTTCTTCTGCACTCATACACATTCTGCTATTGTGGACAAGGTTTGGTGTTCAGCTGTGCAGGTTGATTAAGTCACAAGTGGCTAAGGTCTAAGAGGGTCAGATCTCCCACAAGACATCATAATTATTACAAAATGGCTAGCTAATTACAGTCAAGTTTTCTAACAAAATCAGTATCTATCTATATATATATATATATATATATATATATATATATATATATATATATATATAAAAGGTTACTATATAAGGTGTCCCCTCAGGAGTTCAACCAGGAAAGTGGGAATTTGATCGCTCGCTATGACGTGTGCTGCCCACCAGGGGTGGTGCTGGATGAAGGGAGGCCCCAGCTGGCAGGCAGCCGGAAGGCCCCAATCAGCCCTGATCACCAGCCAGGTCTAGGGACCATACCCGTGCTCAAATTTCGTGCCCCGGGCCTCGTCTAGTGTAAAGATAAATTTCTGAGAAATGGAAGGAAACTGACGTGAGGAAAGAGGATCTCTTTCCAATTTGCATAAAAATGCCCCATGGGTGAGCAGGATCTTAGACTAAACATTATGCTGCTTAGAAAATCACTACAAAGTAAAATCTTTTGAATCATCAGAAAAGTGAAGTTGAGCCTGATTAAGATACAAATCAAAAAATCACAGTTCAGATGTGAAATCCCTGTACCTCCATTTTACATAGGGCCTCTTTTCTAAAGAAGTCTTAAACGAAATTAATTGGTCACTTATTTTCAGGGGAGACCTACAGTTTGAGAAGTGTGATGATCAATGTTTAGCCAGCGGTGGAGGTGTGTATGGAGGTTTTCTTGGGGGTTGGGGTGTGGGGGTGCATTTGGAGAGTTCTACGATATTAATACCCCAAACACAGCTGCTCTGGCGTGAGAAGCCCTGAGGACACCAGAGCAGTCAGCTCTCGCTGGCCAGTCCCAGCTGGCTCCGCCCGGCACTGAATGAAATCACACTTCTCAGCGCTGTTTCATATTTAGTTCTGTTTGACCCCCTCAGGCTCAGCGCGTGTTTGCAATGGTGATTTCAAAGCTCGCTTTACCAGGGTTTCTCTGAGGGGCAGCTGCCTCTGACAAAAGCAAGTCAAGCACTTCTTTTAAAAGTTATCTCGTTCCCTCCGTGTCCAACTTAAAACACCCAATCACACCGCCCAGCGACACTCCACAAGCGGTCACTCCACCAGCGGCGACCGGAGCGTGGGTAAAGCCGGTGGGCAGGGCGGCGGCGTACGTACACTGTCTGGCACCTTGAGGCCCAGGAAGGAGGAGCTGCAGCCGTTGGGCTCCTGCGGCTTGTAGTGCGGCCTGGGCATAGGAGCCTTTCCTGGCGGAGAAAGGGGGAGGAAGCAGGAAGAAATGTTCAGAAATGAAGCATTCGGAAACATTCGTGAAATAAAAATGACCTAAGAGCGCATTCGGGTTTTCCTTTGAAAGGCATTGTTGCTCAGCAGATGCTCACATCCACCTTAGGTGACGGTGACAGTGATGACGATGGTGACGGTGACAGTGATGACGATGGTGACGGTGACAGTGAGGACGATGGTGACGGTGACAGTGAGGACGATGGTGATGGTGACAATGACAACGATGTCCTAAAAGAGCCGTAACCGGAAGGCCAGTGGGGCATTTTTCTCCCAATCTCAAAGAACTTTTAATGTTTCTTAAGTGCGTGGCCTTGAAGATAAGGTTTTTGACAAAACAGAACTAAAACTCAACATTTCTTACTCCCCTCTCCACTGTACGGACACCCTCCTCGCACAGGAAAAGGGAACCGCCGCCCGATCACACAGGGGGAATCGGGATTGTAGCCGTGCCGCAGAGGTTTTCCCAGAATAACTTGAGTGGAACTTGGCAAAATTCTATAAATGTAGACAAACCGCTATTGCCCAGAGGACAAAGAAAACACCCTATTTAGGCATTCCTATCATAGAACTAAGCAGAAATGATCGGAAAAACTTTTAATTTCTTTGTTCCTCCTACATAGCTTTTGAGTTATCTTCTGAGCTTGCAGATATGTGCCAGGATTCTTTGTCAGTTGACTCAGTGGTAGTCATGCATCACAGAGATAACCTTGACCTGAGATGAACTCTGGACGCTCATCTCCAGTGAGTCTTTTTATCTGTTATCTGGATAAGAAAGTGGGGCGGAGAGGCTGCGTGACTTGCTTCAGTCATATAGCAAGTGGGGGAAGTAGGACACAAATGCAGATTTCCTGTTTTTCTCCAAAAGTCCTGTTCTTCCTCCATGTTCCTTGGCCTCTTTGTGGGACGAGATGTAGCGTAAGACTGAGGAAATAAGCTAAGAATTAATCCTCGAAGTGAGGTACCTGGCATTTCTATTTTCTTTATTTTTTAAAAAATATATTTTATTGATTTTTTACAGAGAGGAAGAAAGAGAGATAGAGAGCTAGAAACATCAATGAGAGAGAAACATCGACCAGCTGCCTCTTGCACACCCCCTACTGGGGATGTGCCCGCAACCAAGGTACATGCCCTTGACCGGAATCGAACCCGGGACCTTTCAGTCCACAGACCCACGCTCTACCACTGAGCCAAACCGGTCTCGGCTATTTTCTTTATTTTTAATTATTGTTTTTATTATGAAATTTAAAAACTGAAGAAAAGTCAGAGGAAAAAAACACCCATGAGCCCATTACATAAACATAATGAGGGTTAACATTACCAAACTTTCCATAAGTATATTTTCTGCTTAATTACTGTTGCAAGGATAGTTGAAGCCCCTTTGCCCCCGTTTTCCTGTTTTAATTTTTAAAGACTAAGTCTATGCTTTAAAGCCCAAAATTGTCTTGATTATTCTTGGCCCTTCACTCTTGCCTATGAGTTAGTACATTTTAAAAGAGATTGTCAGAATTTTGCTTGAACATACATTGAATTTATAGATTAGTTTGGAGACAGCTGACTTTCTTAGAATATTCTGTCTCCCTAAACATGGGCATAGGATAGCTTTCCATTTACTTAGTCCTCCTTTATGCCCTTCAATAGAGTGCTATCATTTTTTCCGTGTATCTATTATCCCTCCGACATACTGGACTGTTCAGATACTTACACAACATAGGATACCTCATAAAACCCCAGAATGAAGGATTGTAAGGCTGGTATAGAAAATCTGTGCTTTTCTGGGCCCCAGGCTGCTGCTGGCTTTCTGCTCTGCCAGCCCTAGAGTGAAGCCCTGGCTCTCGTGGTCCAAGAAGGAGCGTCAGCCAGCATCTCCCCATGTAAGCATCACCTGGAAGAAGGAAGTACAATAGAAGGATCCCAGCCTCCCTCTTGAATAAACACTCTCCTGAATGGTGCACACATCACTTCCTCCTCCTTCCTTTGGCCAGACCTTAGTCAAAGGGCAACACCTGGTTGCAAAGGCGGGCAATGGGAAGGATGCTTTTATTCCATGGTGCAGCCTGTCTGCTTGAGTAGCTGCACCTTTTATATTCCCATCTGCAGTGCACAAGGGTCCAGTTTCTCCACATCCTCACAGTGTCACTAGAGTGTACCTAGATGCGAAGTGTCTATCCTCATCCTGCTCTGAACAGTCTGAAGATTCGGGTTTCTATGACCCTTGGAGAATCCACAGCCACTGTCTGAATCCAGTACAGCCTCGCTATGACAGACCAATTCAGGAGAGGGTGTCCATTAAAGCGGAAAGTCCATTATATAATAAAGTAAATTTTCCAAACGCCTATGTTAAAAATTTGACAGATTAGTGTACCTGTTTTTACTTACATAGACACATTTGTGTAATTACAAGTAAGTATGTCTGAAAAGTTTAATTTCACAGAAAAGTATTCTATATATGTTACTGTGATTTTAAGTTTATTCTGAGCAGGTCTAGTAAATGGGTGTGTTCACCAGTCACCACAGCAAACAAGTGTACACGCTGGGGGTGGCCTACATCGAATGTCCCCGGCATAAGTTAGAACTGCTGCAGAAAGTAATGCAGCCAAAACCGGTTTGGCTCAGCGGTAGAGCGTTGGCCTGCAGACTGAAAGGTCCCAGGTTAGATTCTGGTCAAGCGCATGTACCTTGGTTGCAGGCACATCCCCAGTAGTGGGTGTGCAAGAGGCAGCTGATCGATGATTCTCTCTCATTGATGTTTCTAACTCTCTAGCCCTCTCTCTTCTTCTCCGTAAAAAAATCAATACAATATATATTTTTTTTAAAAGAAAAAGAAAGTAATGCCACATGACAAGAGAACCAATAACCAATTACTATGAGAGAGGCAGTGTGATCACATGCTAATCGTTCCACCACCATGTATACAAGCGGCGACTCTTGGATTTACATACGTAGACTGTAGTTGTAGACATGTAATATTTATTTATGTCAGCAAAATTAGTGTTTTTTCCAACATATGGCCTATTCGCTAAAACTTGATTAATAACATAAAAATAACCTGTTAATTTAAATATGAGCAAATCTTGGTTAAAGGCATTTTAAAATTAATTTTCACATAGGACATAGGGATGAGAAATTTTGTTTGTTAACTCCAAAGTCCATTAAATCAAGGTCTGCAAAATCAAGGGTTTAATGTATTTTATTTTCCTCACTAGAGGCCCAGTGCACGGATTTGTGCGCTGGTGGGGGGCGTGGCCTGTGGGGATCAGCCTGCTGTGAGAGCACCGCTCATCCCCGTCAGCTGAGCAGCTATGGACCCGCCCTCTGAGCAGCTCACCCCAGTCAGTCAAGCGGCGCTCCCACTGTGCAAGCACACTGACCATGAGGGGCAGCTCCTGCATTGAGCATCTGCCCCTTAGTGGTCAGTGCGCATCATGGCGACTGGTTGACTGATCGTTCTGGTCATTCTGCCATTTGGTTGCTGGGCTTTCATTATATAGGATTCTCTCTAGTTTCTCCTTCTGGGCCTCTTATTACTGAATGGTGAATCTTTTTAATCCTATACTTTATATATCTTAATATCTCTTGTATGTTATACTAGAGGCCTGGGGCATGAAATTCATGCATGTGCAGTATCCCTATGCCTGGCCAGTGATCAGGGCCGATCAGAGCCTTCTGGCTGCTGGCCGGGGCCTTCCTTTGTTCCGTGCTGCCCCCCAGATGGCCAGCACATATCATTGTGAGCGATTAAACTTCCGGTCGAACTCCTGAGGGGACACTTTGCATACTAGCATTTTATATATATAGATATTTTTCTCTCTGGGTACTGATTTTTTATTAACTTCATCAAGTCTATTTACCATTTTCCTACTTCTTTCTAACCTGCTGTTTAACTCATTCACAGAGTCTTTTCTTTCAATGACTATAAGTTTCATTTCTTAGAATTCTTGTTTTAAATCTGTCTATTCATTTTTATTGAGTTCTTTTTTTCTCTTTTTTAAATATATTTTTACTGATTTTAGAGAGAGGAAGGAGTGAGAGAGATAGAAACATCAATGAGAGCAAAACATCAATTGGCTGCCTACTGCGCACACACACACCCGCTGGGTATGTGAATTGACTTGAAATTGAACCATGATCTCCTGGTTTGATATGTGTGATAGCAGCAGAAACTCTATTTAGGAATGAAACTTGAAGTCCAAGTTCAAAGAAAAAAATTTGATGGTTTGAGTCTAAGCTGAAGTAATATACTACATCCTCAAGTTATAGTTTGAGTCGTTTGGAGTTGTGTTGAGTCCTTACAGTTTGTTGTTTTGAGTCTAGGCATTCATAATGTACACGTTGATTTTAATTTTCTGGTTTTGGCTATTTATAGGAGAGGGAGGCTGACAACCTGATCCAATAGTTTATAGGCTGGCAAGCATGGCTCACGTCCGGTCCATGGCCGGCTTTGGTATGTCTGCCAGCCGAAATGGTTTTTATATTTTTTAATGGTTGAGGGGATGGAGGGTGCATCAGAGTCAAAACAAGGATAGTATTTTGTGACATAAAAATGATATTAAATTCAAATTACAACATTCATTAAAATGTTTTATTGGGACATAGCAATACTCCCTACCTATTGGCTATGCCTGCTTCCCCAGAAAAAAGAGCAGAACATTCTTATCATCTTGATGAAAGAATGGTTTTCTAAGCAAGAGAACAACTTCAGAAAACATAAAGAAAAAGACAGACAGACTTGACGTTATGAAAATTAAAAACTTCTGAATAAAGCAAGATGCCATAAAATAAGTAAAACAGTTAAAAATGAGAGCCATTTCGGGAGAGTTGGCCCGGAAGCTCCTGTTCTGCCGCAGCTGTGCATGCTCCCGGGCCCAGCCTCAGTGTGTCACCGAGGAGAGCAGTAAACCGTCTGGGCTTCCGGACCCAGGTCAGGGGTTCCGTCTTCCCCAGGTGTGTCCTCCCGCCGCCTGCCGTTCCTGCAGAGGCAGCTCCGAGCCTCCCTCCCCGGGTCTCCCGGAGGCTGACACATGTGCAACGTGTGTGCTCACGTCCAGAAACACGCAGATGCGGCTCATCGGAAACAAAGCAGAACGGGGGCAGCTTCATTGAAGCCATACATTCTGTCTCAGTTGCTGAAGCAGAGTAAGTTACTGCGTGAGGTGAGGTGACCAGCTTGCCTGGGTCTGCCCTGGGCTAGAACCCGAAGTCCCACACCCCAGGGGCCCCAGACCCTCCCCTCAGTGCCCGCACAGCGGACAACTGGCCACCCAGCAGAACAGCTCTGCCCTAAACCGGTAGCTGTAAATGGTGGGGAGGAAGGGGAGGAAAGGAGGAGAAGGAGAAGGAGAAGGAGGAGGAGGAGGAGGAGGAGGAGGAGGAGGAGAAGGAAAGGAGAAAGAGAAGGAGAAGGAGAAGAAGACTGACATTGAGAGAACTTTTTTCCTTAGAACTAAACCCAAGAAGAAGTCCAACAAGTCCTTTTCCCCAAGTGTGGCAGGCAGTGTGGACAGTACCTCCCACCGTGACTCATAAGACGCCGAGTCCTTCCTAAAGACACAGGAACTTAAGTCAGGACGTCTCCTCCTGACGCTGAGAAGCCGCTGCCGAGCCACGGGCGTTTCTGAGGTTTGTGTTTAAAGTTGAAGGAGAGCAGGAAAGCACCTGAATGCACAGGAACCTGCTCACCAGACCATCCTCCTTATAACATCTATACAATGTGTTTGGTGCGTGTCATGCGTCCTGCATGGCACTAATTCTTTATGTTTATTTTCTTTAATTCTTCAACAACCTCACAAAGCATTTATTTTATTTTTATTTTATTATTATAAATATATTTTATTGATTTTTTAGATAGAGGAAGGAAGAGAGAGAGAGAGAGAAGCATCGATGAGAGAGAAACATCGATCAGCTGCCTCCTATAACCTCCACTAGGGATGTGCCCACAACCAAGGTACGTGCCTTTGACCGGAATCGAACCTGGGACCTTTCAGTCCGCAGGCCGACGCTCTATCCACTGAGCCAAACTGGTTTTGGCCAAAGCAGGTATTAGTAGCACGACTTATAAACATGGGAAAACAAAGGTTGAGCATTAGGTAACTTGTGCAAGGTCACCAGCAATGAGATTACCCAACTCCAACCCCCTCTCTCCCCTCCCGCCCCAGCTCCCCACCACCGGCCCCGCCCAATTCAAACCCAGGGTTTTTCCATTGCTTGTATTTAGCCAAGTCTCATTCAGGGCCCACCTGTGCAGGCCAGGCTCCACCACAGACTCCTGCCTCAGCATCTCTGGGCGGGGGCGGGGATCTTGCCCACCGGGTGCCAACGCCTCATCCCAGCGGCTGCTCGCAAGCCGCTGACACCACGTTCTGAACCTCCTTGAACTATTTATAGCCCGGTCCCTGGGCCAGACTTTGGGTGCTGACGTGAGAATAAATGTTGTAGCTATAAGGAGTGTGAAGGCAAAGTTGACACAGTATTGTAGGCCACCAGGGTACAGACACGCCTTTATGTGTCTGAACAGCCCGCGGGCTGCAGTTCTCCAAGAATGACCTCCAGACCTTGGGCTGCAGACCTCGGCTGTGCTTTGTAACCACCTGGGGAGCGTTAAAACACGTCTGTGTGGGTCTGGGCCACGGAGATTCTGATTTAATGGGTTTGGGTGGCGGGAGTTTTTTAAGCTCCCTCTCACCCCCAGGTGATCCTAAGAGCAGGCTGAGGCAGGGAACCTTGTTTTGGGTACAGGCTCACCTCGTTTCATCGCACGTGGCTTTACTGTGCTTCACGGAGGTTGTGCTCTTTACAAATGGAGCGCAAGGCCCCCCACCAGTGAAAGGATTGCAGCTGGTTTTATTGCAAAACCCGCTTTCGTGCTGTGGCGTGGAAAGGAGCCTGCAGTGTCTCCGGGGTGTGCCTGATCGTGGTAAGGACTTATAAAGTAGAACAGTTTTTCTTGTAGATTGATTGTCACTCAATTGTCCTTTCTGGCAGGAGACAGCAGCCTTCAAGGCCGTTCTTTCCCTCGAAGTGTGGCCCTGGGGCCAGCAGCATTGGGATCACCTGGGAACCCTTAGGAATGCAACTGTTCCGGCCGCTCCGGGCAGCAAATCAGAGGCAGGAGGTGGGGGCCCGGTGAGGTGAGGATTGCTAAGAGGGAAGGGAGAGCTCTGCAGAGGTGTGTGGGGAAGCGAGCTGGAGATGCTGGCTTGGTGGTTAGGCGCTGTCTGTCCTAGAAAGCCTGGTCCATCCGGAGAGAGCCTGGTCCGTCCGGAGAGAGGAGCCTGGTCCGCCCGGGGAGAGGGGCCTGGTCCGCCCGGAGAGAGGGGCCTGGTCCGCCCGGGGAGAGCCTGGTCCGCCCGGGGAGAGGGGCCTGGTCCGCCCGGAGAGAGGGGCCTGGTCCGCCAGGGGAGAGGGGCCTGGTCCGCCCGGAGAGAGGGGCCTGGTCCGCCCGGGGAGAGGGGCCTGGTCCGCCCGGAGAGAGGGGCCTGGTCCGCCCGGAGAGAGGGGCCTGGTCCGCCCGGAGAGAGGGGCCTGGTCCGCCCGGGGAGAGGGGCCTGGTCCATCCGGAGAGAGCCTGGTCCGCCCGGGGAGAGGGGCCTGGTCCGCCCGGGGAGAGGAGCCTGGTCCGCCCGGGGAGAGGGGCCTGGTCCGCCCGGGGAGAGCCTGGTCCGCCCGGGGAGAGGGGCCTGGTCCGCCCGGGGAGAGGGGCCTGGTCCGCCCGGAGAGAGGGGCCTGGTCCGCCCGGGGAGAGGGGCCTGGTCCGCCCGGGGAGAGCCTGGTCCGCCCGGGGAGAGCCTGGTCCGCCGTCGGCTGGGGAAGATCCGGCTCAGCACCGGCTCTCTGCGCTCCGTTCCGAAGGTAAGGGGGCTCTCCTGTCTCCCCGTTTCCCGGCCCCTTGGCTCCGCAGACGGAGTGGAGTGTTTGCCTTCCTGCTCCCTCTCTGTTGACCATTCCCTTCCCCACTCAGAGTGCGGACAGGCCTGCCCAGGTAGAGTCTGCAACCAAAAGCTGCTGAAATCTCTTAACGCTAGGTTGCGGGGGAAGGAAGAGTAGGGTTTGACTCTTGTTTTCCTAAAAGAGATGCCTGCTCTCGTCCGCTGGCTGGACCAGGGGCCTGCGACCCGTGTTGCCTTGAGGAAGGGCCCGCAGCCCCTCCTGCCCCCTGGGCGCGCTGAGGAGGGGCCAGGGCGCCTCTGCTCTGTCCTCCCGCCCGCACACCGCCGAGGCCCCGGGTTCAGGTGGTCCTGGCACAGACCAGGCTTTTCACTCCACTGCATCCTCAGAGAAAATGCAGCTTCCTTTTCACCACATCCGTCCGTGCATCTAAAATTCTGTGTCGCAAACCTCTGGTTCTGGCGCAGTGGCTTCCCACTGCCTCCCAGTTAGCCACGTCTAGTAAGGAAGCAGCCTCCTCCTTTCCCTCCCCCCCTCCCCCCCACCCCAGCTCCAAAGCAAAAAGGGCTGAGCTCTCTGTGGGCCGTTTGGAGAAAACATTGCTCAAGTGCTTTCCTGCTGGCTCCCTTGCTCTCCATTTCCACCTCTGACCCGAGAGGAAGCCTTGGGTACACAAACCCTAGGCCAGAGCTGTGAGTGCTGTGACAGCGTGAGCAGCTGAACTACCCGCCTCTCGGCCAGGTCCAGGGCCCGCCTTCCGCCCCCACTACCTGGGCTCCCGGGGCCCCAGGCCTCCTCTGTGGACTGAGGCTCCCCGTTCACAGCCCTGGCCCTGCCCCGGGCCCGGCCCAGGTACAGGGCAGCTAGCTCTCCCGGTGCCGCCCGGGGCAGTGAGCGGAGCCATCGGAGAGAGGGAGGCCGGCCAGCTGGGAGGAAGTGTGAGCAGCACCGGGGAGAGCCTTCCAGCTCAGCACACTGACCTAGGAGCCTGCTTCACCACAACCCTACCACCCCCCACTCCTCCCCATCTTCTCCGAAAGTTCAGCTTCCTCTTCACCTGGGAACCCTCACACAGCTCTCCTGTTCTCCTCCCGCCCCTGTGGCCTTTTCCCCGAAAAGGACCTCCCAGCAAACCCAGGAGAACGGCCAGCGGGCAGGTCTCTCTCCTGGGAGCTGGGGCGCCAGCTCACACACAGGCAGCCCTGTGGCGTCTGATTTTCAGATAAACAGCCAATAAGTTGCCAGTGTATGTGTGCCCCAAGCATTTCAAATGCACCCACACCTTATTTGGTGTTTGAGATTCAGGTTTCGGGGGGACAGAATAGAAGTCCATGCCCGGCTGTGCCCGCCCGCCCTCCGGGCCGGTGGCAGAGTGTGCCCGGGGGAGAGGCTGGCACTGAGCACTCACCGTAGCGGCACCGGTACTGGCAGACGCCGTCCTTGCCCCCCAGCAGCTCCAGGAAGGAGTCGAAGTAGCTGTTGACGGACTCGAAGCCGCCCCGGATGTGCCGGAGGCCCCAGTCGGAGTAGGACTCCTCTGGGGCCACGTCGGGGCCAGCGTCGGGGCCGGGGTCCTCGCTCTGGGCCAGGCCACCCCCCAGGCTCAGCCACAGGATCAGGGAGCCGGCGGCCAGCCTCATCCTGCGGCCAGTAGGTGCCGAGGCCTCTCCTCGAACCCCGGCCTCAGTCCCCGGAAGCCCAGGTGCGTGGCCCCAGGCCTGGCTCGGGCAGGACTGGGACAGGGAGGACCGGGAACCCTCAATCTCTGCTCCCGGAGGCGGACTTTGCACAGCTGGGGAGGCGGGGATGAGATCAGAGCGATCAGAAAGGGCAAAGGGCAGGCCGTGGGCGGGATGGCCGGTGAGAGAGAGGGAGGGAGAGAGAGAGGGACGGAGAAAGGGGGAGAGGGCCCTGCGAGTGGACCCACAGCCCTGGAGGTGGGGGCTGTGGGGCAGCTTCTGGGAGGCCTGGGCGGTGGAGCCATCGGAATCCTCCCCCCGCCGGCTGGCTAACCTATCGATCAGTCACCAGCCTGGCCCTGCAGCGTCAGGCTCTTGACACAAGAGCTTGTTCTGAAGTCCTAGCCCCGTGGTCGGCAAACTGCGGCTCGTGAGTCACATGCGGCTCTTTGGCCCCCTGAGTGTGGCTCTTCCACACAATTCCACGACCGGGGCGAGTCTATTTTGAAGAAGTGGCGTTAGAAGTAGCAGTTTAAGTTTAAACAATGTGGCTCTCCAAAGAAATGTCAATTGTGGTACTGTTGATATTTGGCTCTGTGGACTGATGAGTTTGCCGACCCCTGTCCTAGCCTCACCCCCATGCCAGTCACCTGCACTGGTCTCTGGGAGATCCGAGGGAGGGTGTACAGGATGCAGACACCCCGTGGCCGTGGGTTAAGGATGTCACTGTCCCAGGGGGGTGTTGCCAGGGACAGTGTGCGGAGGGGCGTTCGGGCCTGGGCCCCCGGCTTCTCCCTGCTCCCTGCCGGGCGCAGCCTCTGCTCCTGAGAGGCAGCCTCTGTGGGGCTTGTGCGCTTTCGTTACAGTGTTTTTGTTTAGCACTAGGCCGTGCGTGATCTCTGGGATTGCCCAGGGCTGGTCCTGGGGGAACTCGGCTCTCCTGGTGTTGGTTTTATGTTGCATTGCTTAAACATCAGAGGGTGCCTTAGCCGGTTTGGCTCAGTGGATAGAGCATCGGCCTGCAGACTGAAGGGTCCCAGGTTCGATTCTGGTTAAGGGCACATGCCTGGGATTCGGGCTTGATCCCCCGTGGGGGGCGTGCAGGAGGCAGCCAATGATTCCCTCTCATCGCTGATGTTTCTCTCCCTCTCCCTTCCTCTCTGAAATCAACATATATATATATATATATATATATATATATATATATATATATATATATATATATATATATATATATATTTTTTTTTTTTTTTTTTTTTTTTAAGTCAGAGGGTTTATCAGAAACACTATTTGAAATTTGAGGCTTCATGAGTGTTGACTGAAGCCTAGTGTTTGGACATCACTTTTAGTTTATACTTGGCTTTTAGTCAGAGAAGACAGGAATCCCATCCTGAACTCACTCGTCTATAAAAAAATGATACACTTTTTGACCAAATGTTGCTTCTCTCAAAAGTCTAGAAAGCCTCATAGAGCGGGGTCAACCCACAGGTTGAGAACCACTAGCGGGGTCGCCTAAGACCATCGGAAAACACAGATATTTACATTAAGACTCATAACAGGAGCAAAATGACAGTTATGGAGTAGCAACGAAAATAATGTTATGGTTGGGGGTCACCACAACATGAGGAGCTGTGTTAAAGGGCCGTGGCATTAGGAAGGTTGAGAAGCACTGCTAGGCCCGCCCACGTTGTTGCAGATGCAAGATTTCATTGTTTTTCATGACTGAGTCACATTTCATTGTGTATATGCAGTACTTTCTAAATCTAATTATCTATTGATGGACACCTAGGTTGCTTCCATAACTTGACTATTGTAAATAATACTGCAATGAACATATGAATGTGTGTGTGTGTGTGTGTGTGTATACAATATATATATATATATATATATATATATATATATATATATATATATAATATATTTTAGCATTTTGGGTTTCTTTGGATAAATACCCAGAATCTCTTGTTATAGCTTGTTTTTTTTTAATTCTATTTTGTCTGATATCAGTATTGCTACCCCAGCTTTTTTGTTTTGTTTACATATTTATGACCTCTACCCCTTTACTTTCAGTCTGTGTGTATCTTTAAATCTGGAGTGAGTCTCTCATAGACAGCATATGTAAGGGGCTTGTTTTGTGATTCAGTCACCATCTGTCTTTTAATTTTGAGTATTTGATTCATTTGCATATAATTATTGATAGATATGTATTTATTGCTATTTTATTATTCATTATTTTCTTCTTTTTCTTAAAGAAGACTCTGACATTTCTTGTCATACTGGTTTGGTGGTGATGAAGTCTTTTTTCTTTTTATTTTTTCTTCTGTCTTTGATTCTAAATAATAGCCTTGCTGTGTACAGTAATCTTGGTTGTAGGTCCTTGCTTTCCATCACTTGGAATATTTCGTGCCAATCCCTCTATTGATAAATCAGCTAGAAGTCTTTGCAAGCTTCCTTGTATATAGCTAACTGCTTCTGCTGTTTTTAAGATTCTCTTTGTCTTTAACTCTTAGCATTTTCATTATGATGTGTCTTGGTGTAGGCCTCTTTGGGTTCATTTTGTTTGGAACACTATGTGCTTCCTAGACTTGTATGTCTATTTCCTTCACCAGAATAGAGAATTTTTTCAAATAGGTTTTTGACTTCTTCTCTCTCTTCTCCTTCTGCCTGTGCGTGCCACCCCACACCCCCCATTATGCAAATGTTGGTACTCTTGAAGTTGTCCCAGAGGCTCCTTACACTACCTTCATTTTTTCCTTTTTCTATTGTGATTGGGTACTTTCTGCTTCTTCAACTTCCAAGCCATTAATCTGATTTTCTGCTTCATCTATTCTACTGTTAGTTCCCTATCATGTATTTTTTCATTCTACCAGTGGGGGTGAGGGGGCCCACGGTGTGTGCAGGAGGCAACTGATTGATGTTTCTCTCTCATCGATGTTTCTAACTCTTTATCCCTCTCCCCCGCTCTCTGTAAAAAAAACAGTAAAATATATATTTTTTAAAACAAAACTATTTTTGCTGAAACCAGTTTGGCTCAGTGTATAGAGTGTCAGCCTGTGGACTGAAAGGTCCTGGGTTCGATTCCGGTCAAGGGCATGTACCTTGGTTGTGGGCACATCTCCAGTAGGGGGTGTGCAAAAGGCAGCTGGTCAATGACTCTCTCTCATTGATGTTTCTAACTCTCTATCCCTCTCTCTTCCTCTCTGTAAAAAATCAATAAAATATATTTAAAAAATAAAAAAAATTCTTTTGGGTGTACATCTAGAATTGGATTTGCTAGACCATGTGATAATTCTGAGTTTAACTTTTTGAGAAAGCATCATACTGTTTTCCACAGTGGCTGAACCACTTACATTCTCCCAGCTGTGCACAGGGTTCCAGTTTGTCCACACTCTCACCAACACACTTGCCTTTTATAACAATAGCCATCCTACTGGGTATGCGGTAGTATTTCATTGTGGTTTTTATTTTTGTGTTCTCTAATGATGAGTGATGTTGAGCATATTTTCTCATGCTCATTGGTCATCTGTATTTATCCTTGGAGAAATGTCTATTCACTCTTTGCCCAGTGTTCCCCTGCTTTATTGAACTGTAGTTGACATAACATTGTATTTAAGATGTACATTGTATTGATTTGATACACTTATGTATTGTGACATGGTGACCACAGTAGGGTTAGTTAACACTCCATCACCTCACATAATTACGTGTGTGTGCAAGTGTGTGTGTGTGTGTGTGTGTGTGTGTGTGTGTTTGTGTGTGTAGAACATTTGACATAAGTTTTCTTAGCAACTTTCAAGTATTTAATACAATATTGTTAACCATACTCACATTATGTCCCCAGAACTTACTTATCTTAAAACTGCAACTTTGTACTCTCTGATATCACCTCAGTTTTCCCAGCCTCCAGCAATCACTTTCTACTCTGGGTTTGTATGAGTGCAACTCTTTCAGATTCCACATGCGTGATATCATACGGTATTTACCTTGCTCTGTCTTATAGTAACATAATGCCCTCAAGGTCCATCCATGTTTTCACAGATGGCATGGTTTATTTCTTTCTCGTGGCTAAATGATGTTTCTTTATATATATATAATTGATTTTTTTACAGAGGAGGAGAGAGGGATAGAGAGTTAGAAACATCAATGAGAGAGAATCATCGATTAGCTGCCTCTTGCACATCCCCTACTAGGGATGTGCCCGCAACCACGGTACATGCCCTTGACCGGAATTGAACCTGGGACCTTTCAGTCTGCAGGCCGACGCTCTATCCATTGAGCCAAACCGATTTCGGCCTAAATGATGTTTCATTGTATATGTGTGTATGCATGCACACCTCACATTTTCTTGGTCCATTCATCTGTAGATGGACACAGGTTGTTTTCATGTGTTGGTGATTGTGAAGAACGCTGAAGTGAACACAGGAATACAGCTATCTCTTCAAGATCCTAATGACGTTTCCTTTGGATATATATACCCAGAAGCGGATGCTGGATCACACAGAAGTTCTACTTTTAATTTTGGAAGAACTTCCATCCTGTTGAACCTAGTAGCTGAACCAATTCACCTTTTCACTACTAGTTCACTTTCAGTCTATGATCACAGGTTATCTTTCTGTTTATTTGTGTCACCTAAACTTTCTTTAATCAAAGTCTTGTAGTTTTCGGTGTACAAATCTTTCACCTCCTTGATTAAATTTATTCCTAAGTGTATCTGATGCTATTGTGAATTACATTGTTTTCTTTTTCAGATATTTCATTGTTAGTGAATAGAAATGCAACTTATTTCTGTATGTTGATTTTTGTATTCCACAACTTTTGTTGATTATTTCTAACACTTTTTTTGTGTGGATTCTTTAGTATTTTCTATATACTAATATAAGATCATATAATTTGCAAACGGAGACAATTTTAATTCTTTTCTGATTTGAATGCCTCTTTTTTTTCCCCTTCATCTGATTGACCTGGCTAGGACTTACAAAACAATGTTGAATAATGGAGAGAGTGGGCACACTTATCTTATCCTTATCTTAAAGGAAACTTTTCAGGTTTTCATCACTGAAGATGCTGTTAGCTGTGGACTTTTCATATATGGCCTATATTATGTTGAGGTGC